ATGAAAAAAAAAAAAACAGCATCACTTTCATACTTGTGATTTTAAGCAGAACTGAATGCTAGTGGGCTATAAGAGAGTAAGTGTATTAGGTTCACATCAGGATAATAAAATATCTGACACAGGTTACTTGGGTAAGAAAGATTATTTTGGATCATGGTTCTGGAGGTTTGAGTCCAAGATGGGTGGCTCACTGACTTAAGCCTCTGATGAGGGCACATCATGGTAGGAGCAGAGGATGGAACAAAAGCTTATATCTCACACCAGGAAAGGGGTTGAGGGATGGGAAGAGAGGGAGGACTGCCTACAGTCCCACAGTCCCTTATGAGGATAAGCCTCCAATAACCTAACAACCTCCTACCACACCTTACCTCCTAAAGATTCACAGCATCTCCCAATACTGTCACTCTGGGGAATCAAACCTTTCCATATAGGTCTTTGGGAGGGAGGTGCTCATTGAAATCATAGCAACTCAAATCATATACCTAGATAATTCAGTCAATTCTGTTGCTGACCTGAATGTGGATGAATATCTTCCCAAAATTTCACCTCAGAATTAGGTGACAATAATTGATCATCAAATTTAATTGCTTCTTGAGGCCACACCTAAAAGCTGATAATAAAACCTGTCAGTAGAGTCAAAGAGGCTTGTATTCCCATTTGCTTGTTAGCAGTGTATCTTCTTTACTAAATTATGGAGATAAAAGTTAATAAAGAGACCTTAAGGCTACTTAAAATGTACCAGTTACATGACAACTAAATGCAATTTGCGATACTACACTTGAAAAATCAACAAAACTGCAATGTAGACTGAAGATTAAAGTTTTATATCAATGTCACTGAATCTAATAACTGTACTAATGATATGTCAGATGAGATTTGTTCTTAAAAATGATAATGTATCAAGAGGTAAAGGAGCATGTATATGAATCCCACTCTCAAATGAAACAGGAAAAAATAATCTAGACAGAATGATGAAGCAAATGTGAAATGTCAATAATCAGCCAACCTAGTTAATCTAGGGGATATGGAAATCTCAGTACTATTATCTGTAAGTTTGAAATTACTTCAAAATTAAAGGTTAATAAAAGAACAAGCTGAACTTAAACTTACTAATGCCAAAGCTTTAGTAATGTTCATTTTCCAGCTATTKCTATTGCTATGAATAATAAAGTCTCATGTTTTCTGCCACCATCTCTGAACTATGGTAGGTTAACATGTAAATTAAAATCACAGACCCTTCAGTTCTTGACACGAAGCACTTTCTGTAATATTATCTTAATAGAACTTTTATCTTTTTTTCACCCCTGTGTACACTGAGAATTGAACCCAAAGATGCTCTGAAACTGAGCTGAAATCTCCAGTTTCCCCTCCTTTTTATTTTTTGACAGGGTCTTGCTAAATTGCCCAAGTTGGCCTTGAACTTGCAAGCCTCCTGCTGCTGTTTCCTGAGTTGCTGGCTTTATGGCCGGGTGCCACCTTGCCCTACTTCATTAAATCTTATCAATAGCCCTAAAGTTATGCAAAACACTCCATGTTACAAACATTCCATAAATAGTAGCTAATACTTATATCACCACAACTATTAATTTTATGTAACAATCCATAAACTCCATGTTTCAAGCATTCCATAAATAGTAGCTAATACTTATATCACCACAACTATTAATTTTATGTAACAATCCATAAACTCGAATCAACACCATCATCTTACAGCCATCAGGTTAATTTGCCAAGAGTTTGTCACGAAAGTGATAGGGCTGGAATTTTAGTTCTTTTCACTATTACCATGTCATCTCACTTTAAAATCATGAACTCATACAGTGAAATTATAGTTTTTATATTATATCTCAATATATATTCTCATGTTCATTCTTCAGGTATGTATATCTTCTATGTTCCAGGCACTTTGCTGAGGTGGGGGAAATAACAATGAATAAGAAGTGTTCTCTGTCTTCAAAAAATATTATAGAGGAAATATACATCAAAACAAAATAATTACTCACTTATAAGACTGAGATGGAGAACTGGAGGATATACTCTTAAACTATATGTTATCAGCTGGGAATAAATCCAATGAGTTCCAACTACCATTTTTGAAAAATGAAGTAGTATAAAGCAAAAAAAGTGAACACATACACATTATAAGTACTATTTGTCAAACCTTTACCTTGCATAATGGGTTATGGCATATGCAAAGTGCATTTCTTTTAGACACAGGGAATAATCTATGCAATGAGAATGAAAAGACCTTGGTGGGTTAAAGAGATAGAAAATAACATTTTGGTTAGACCTTACAGAAAGAATAGAGGAATGAATTTAAAAAGATGTTTAAGTTCTGGTGTAGAGTTTGTGAAATGTAGAAGGATAAGTAATATGATTTGATTTACATTTTAAAAGTCACTTTTTTGATATATGTAAAATGGATGAAAGGGAGGAATAAATAGAAACAAACCCATAAGAAGTCAGTGTAGATAATGGTGGCTTGGTTTGGGATAGGGAGAGGAAGAAGCAGTAATGGGAAAGACTGTTTGGCTCCAAGATGTATTTCCAAAGTTAAAACTAATAGAACTTACTGAGGTGAAGTATAATCTAAATTTTAGTCATATCCAAATACTCTGGTTACATGAACATACCATGCTTTCCATATGTCAGTATGTCTGCATCCTCTCTTCTTAGAACACCTACACCTTGCCAACCTCCTATTCACTTGGCACACTGCTACTCATTCCCCCTTCAAGATGGAGCCCCATCATCTTGTTTTCCACAAAGCCTCCCATGACATAAAGCCTTCTTCTTTAAGTTCTCTTTTGCATAAGTTTCTAATATAGTGGTTACAGAGTGCACTGCAATTATCTGTTCACATCTGTTCCCCATGCTGGTCTGGAGCCACTCCAGGGCAGAAAACATTCAATTTCAACTTTGGGATAGTTGTTAGAAAACTCTAGGCTCATTATTCAAAGTCTGCTGAATAATTGTGTCATTATCATATAATATTTCCTTCATTCCTAAACTAGCAAAGAGCTCCTCATTTGTACAAGTACACACATTTTTATTTATCCTCAACTTTTACTCAATCCCTCAAACACTCCATAATCAGATAAATACATATTTGGTTAATTTATGTTGCCATATATATCCATAAATTCTTTTTTTAAATATTTTTTTCATTGTCAATGGACTTTTATTTTATTAGTTATATATGGTGCTGAGACTTGAACCCAGTGCTTTACACATGGTAGGCAAGTGCTCTACCACTGAGCTACAACCCCAGTCTGCACAAATTCTTTTTAGTGACTAGATTGTGCTTCTTGATTTCACAAACTAAATAGCAATTTATAGAAAAAAAATGGTTTTTAAATTAGATTTCAATTCATAAAATCACTTTAATTTACTATCCATGTGGCCTTGGGTAGGTTACTTAATATCTCCAGATCTCCATGTGTTCAATTGCATAATATTATTATGTAAACTACACCAAAGGGTTACCATGGGCTTAAAAAAGTCAAAGTAGCTTAATAACTATTTGTTCCTGTTCCTCCATCTTACCTTCTTTATGAGGAAGAATACAACCTTTGCAAAACTAAAAACAATTATGTTTCTGATCATAGCACTATTTTGACCTGTGGGTTGAGAATACAAAGCATCTGCTGAATACTGAGGACCCAAACTACCTACCTCAGAGACAGTTTACTCTCTACATTAACATGACTATTTTTTTATCTTCATCAGCATAATGTAACAGTTCTGGAGACTGCTGCCTAAATAACTTGATTTTCACAGGAGCTTTATGGAAAATCTCAGTTCTTTAATAGAAAGCATCTTTATGTTGTAAGAACCTTTGCCCTGCCCTTTCCACCAATGACAAACTGTTTTATCAAGATCAGTATCCAGTTCTAATTGAGCCTTCAGACCCAATCCCCTCCCATACTCTGCTGCTGAAAGATCAGCCTTATCCCATACATAAGATTCTCAATAAATCTGATCTTGCTTTCCCAATTTAGGCACTAGGAGAAGTCTGATGAGGTGGTGTTTTGCCTTACCCCAGCAAGCAATAAACTCAGCTTTGACTTATTAAAAGGTGGTATTAGAGGAGCTAGCTAGCAGGGGACACAGCAGTACATCTATAAGCTTGAAGACAAAGACAGAAGGATTTCCCCAAAATGCCTACAAACAGCGAAAATGAGCTAAAGTAAATTATATACCAGGCAAAATATGTCATTAATAAAAAGGAAATGAATTTGTCAAGGCCACAATGGAAACTTTCCTTGCAACAAAATTACAAAGATATTCAGTGAATTTTAAAATTTCTTTTTAATAAATTCCAGATTGATTCTGCAGTTTTTACTCATCAATGCCTCCAAATCAAAAAGGCACAGACTCATTTACTTTTGGGATTTACCAAAATATTTCTAGGGTAAATTGTCCTAAGGACTGCAAGAGAAACAACAAGCTTTTATGCTAGATCCTTTTGATAGCAATTCAGATCCATTATCAACTTCACTAAGTGTGTGGAGCATTCATTTCTTTGGAGTCTAATCATGGCCCAAAGACATTCTATCCAGGTAGTGCGTCACCCAAGTAAAACATGGAAAAAGGTGGATTGAAAAGGGGGGAGGGAGGCGGCTGGGGGTGTAGCTCAGTAGTAGAGCACTTGCCTAGCATGTGTCAGGAACTGGGTTCAATCCTCAGCACCATATAAAAATAAAATGAAGGTTCATCAACAACTAAAAAATACATTTAAAAAATAAAAAGAAAAGGAGCGAGGGAAGCAACAAGTACCTTTCAAAGTTTACTTTTCACCCTGAGAAAACGATCTCTGCCTTATTCCTGACCCTCCACATGACTCTCCTCTGCACCTCGAGAGAAAAGGGATGAAGCTGCAGAAACAAACAGAGTTTCGCGGAACCGACCCTCCCACTGAGTGACCGCCTGCAGCTGCTAATGGGCTTGGGGTCCCCCGCCTCGCGGAGTCCCTGTTCCGCCCGCTGGAGGATCCGTACCTGGCTGGCAATGGATCTGCGGAAGCCACACGCCATTTCTGGCTCTGGCCTCGCTCCTCCCTTTTCTGAACGCCCCGCCTCTGCACGCCGGAAGCCAGCCCCGGACGGCCGCGCCAGCTAATCAAAGAGCCGAACGGCCCGCCTTTAACCTTTACCCTGCTGCCGCGAGGGCGCGCGGGAAATCCTGAGTGTATCCGCAACCTACCGGGCGGTAGGACCATGGCCACGTCCTCCGTGTCCAAGGTACGTCTGGGCGGGTGCTCACCCAGGCCTCACCGCCGCCTCATTCCTCTTTGGAGAAGGGATTTAGTGGAAGTTATACAGGCCTCTCTGTTCCCTGGCTCCATGGGAGGGAGAGGCAGACAGTTCAGGCGTCTTTGCCTCAGGTTTAGTTGAGGCCAACTTTGGGGAACGAGGTCGCTGATCTGCCTTGCAATGCAGCCAGGGTGGGTTTTTAAGTCCTGATTCGTGGAGGTCGGATGCCCAGAGAATGTGCCCCGTTCTCCCCTACTTTTTCCTTCATGTTTACTGTTGCGCCAAAGCACTCCGATAGGTACTAAGATACAGAGGTAAACAAATTAGACTTGTTCCTGCACTTAAGAGAGACACTAACAGGCTGATGATCACTTGTGAAAGAAAAAAGTTCTGAGATGGACGAGAGAGAAGAACCTAATATAGATTGTTAAGGGTTGGCGAAGACTTTTTGGAGAAACTGACACTTTGGCTGAGACCTACAAAAAAATGACTAGAAGTTTGTCAGGCATGGGTTTTGAGGATGGAGAACAAAGAGAACATGTTTCTTTGGCGGTGGGGGGAAGGGAGGGCAGGGACTAGACAGCAAAAAATAAAGTATTGTAAAGAAATTGCAAAGTCAGTGTCATCAAAATTGGAGAAAGTAGGAACATTAGGGAAAATAAGATTGGAAAAGTAATGTAGGTGTGAGGGCGGGATCATATAGACCTCCTTCATAAGGTAAACCTAGGTGGTAAGGGTTTGCAAGTCAAAATGTAGTGGGCAAGAAGATAAATCCTGGAGTTGTATTGTCCTATGAAGTATTCACTAGCCACGTGTGGCTAAATTTAAATTTAAAATAATATTTAATTTAAAAATTCAGTTTCTCATTTGTACTAGCCACATTTCAAGCACTTAATAACTGCATGTGACCATGGCTACCATGTCAGAACAGATATATGAAGTTTCTGTCATTTTGTTTTTTAACCTCTAAGTACTTTCACTTCTCTGTCCTTATGATGTTTTGTGGCTGTTGCCCTCCTTCTAGATTTCTTCCTTCCTATCTAACACCATCACTTTACTAGCAGTTCGAAGTGATTAACCATATTACTACCATTGCCTGATATTAGAATCCATTCTAAGTACTCTTCCTATCTTGTTTCTTTAAGAGCACCTTTCTTTTACTGCATTGTAGGTCCATATGGAAAGGATGAAATGACAAGCTTGTCATTATACCATATGATTTTTCTAAATATGTTTATTTCTCTTTTTTTTAAAGAGTTCACAATGCCATATAACAGTAGGCACTATTTTTGTTCCAAACACCAAGACATTTTTTTTCTTTTTTTAGAGAGAGAGAGAGAATTTTAATATTTATTTTTTAGTTTTCGGCAGACACAACATCTTTGTATGTGGTGCTGAGGATCGAACCCGGGCCGCACGCATGCCAGGCGAGCGTGCTACCGCTTGAGCCACATCCCCAGCCCTAAAAATGTGTATTTCACATAGCTCCACTAGTTGCAAAAATAAGAACATACGGCACAGTTTTAAATTTGAACCTGGAATCCAAATGGCCACTTTATATTTTGCACAGTTATCTCTTACACTATCCTGAGATGACTTTGTAGGTAAATTTCTTTTATTCTTTTTTAAATTTTCCATATAAATGAAATCTTTAAGAAGGTATTTATAAAGTGTGACTTTAGGATTGGTAGGATACACTAGGATCAGTATATTATTACATTAGACCAGTGGTACATAATTCCAATGAATATAGTTATGAAATTGCCAAGAACATTAATTTGCAAACATTCATTCCTTCTAAATACTGACTGCCTAATGTACATGTTAGCACTATTCTAAATATTGAGGAAATAATTATAAATAAAATACAGTCTTTATTCTGAAGATGTTCACTGTTTACTTGGAGAGACACACCCCAAAATAATTGATTTACACCCAAAATAATTGATTTACAGTGAAAGTAATTCAAAACAAAGCCAAATGAAGATGTTAAAGTACTGTGAGATCTAAGGAAAGGAACATTTCTCACTAGGGACTTGGGAAAGGTTTCACAGACAAGGTTAGTTTTGAGTCAAACTTTAGTGGATAAATTAATAAGACTTTTATTGGTTGAAGAAAGTTGTAGGATAAAATGATAGAGTTTTCTATTTGCTTGTCAAAGTTCTAAGTACTTAGAGTTTAGTTAAATAATAAGGACTTCTTTTGGAATGGTAAAGTGCTACTGTTGTACACAGGGTCTTGTGCACATGCTAGGCAAGCACTGTGCCACTGAGCTACATCCCCAGCCCTACTTTCAATTTTCTTGATCTTCATCTTAATGTTATTTCTCCTCTTGTAATAAGGTCTTAGAAGATGCTTTTACTTTAAAGCATTGACTCTTCAGTTGGGCCTGAAGGTGTCTGATGGGTAACTAAAAGGATAAATTGTTAGGAATTACTGCTTTTGTTTTTCTGCCTGCCACCTTTATAATCTTGAACTTTTGGTCATATTCCTACTCAACTCTGTATAGATGTGTTAATCACTTAAGGAGTGTCCATCTGAAAACTGGTAGTACAAGGTCAGTTAGTCCTAAATTTGCCTAAAATCTCTTGGCCCTCTTCAAGACTAAAGACACCAAGATAATAGTGACTAAGATATTTTTACGATTTTTGGACATTTCAGGAAGATTGTCCCACAATGTGACTGCACCCCCTAAGCAGAACCAGTTATCCTGTGACAGCAACTAAGTCTGCCTACAGAAAAGAAGCAGTCATTTTTTAATGGAAACCAAATTGCTTCCTCAAGTAATAATGACTCCCCTGGAGTCAGCAGAACTTCACAGAACCTGAGATAATGACAAACCAGATCACAGTTTAACCAAGTCTGCTTAACTGTGCATACTTACTCTTTTATACGGTCTACTGTTTAAACCTGAAGCTCATGTTAGTACCCCAGAAGACCTGGCAGAGGATACTTGCTTCCCCTTGTCTTCCCAGTATGGCTGTAATAAATAAAATTCCTTTCCTTCTTTATTGCCTTTTCCATTTGATTTTTGGGGCAAGTGACCAGACCTCACATATTGGGACTCCCTGAGATAAGGCCCCTGTGACTTAGGACACTAACAACATAGTCTTAAATTTTATTAAAATGGAAACTTTCTGGAAATCAGTTTCATCAGCTTTTATTTCCTTTGTCTATCAGAGTAGGTCCCAAAGAGTAAACCTAAAGATCTACCAGAGCATTCCATAGGAAGAAGGATAAAGGAATGGATGGTTGTTTTAAGATTTTCCTTCTGTAATTCAGAATGACGTGATGTGATTTCTTAGAACCTGAAATAAACATCTTTTATAAAAAAGCCATAAAATATTTGGTTAATCAGATTTGTCAGTTCCGTGGCTACATTGACTTTATGCTTTTTTCTTTTTTAAGGGCTGTTTTGTGTTTAAACCAAACTTCAAGAAAAGGAAAATCTCTGTGCCAATAGGTAAGGTGTCTTAACATCAAATCTCTTAGTTTTTCTTCCTTCATGTCTTTTTAAACTTTAAGAACTAAATCTAATTGAATTTAGTAATTCTCTTTTCTAAGCTTGACTGACTTAGCCTATTAATTAAAGGTTATTTTCCTAGGCATTTGTCAAAAGATAAATATGCACCCTAGCGTTCTAATCTAAAAGGGAATGTAAATATATCTTCATGGGGCAAACTGTGAAATACATTTCTCTTGATGACTTCTCTGCCATTGTTTCTTCATGCACAACTTCAGAAATGAAAATTAGCCAGGCTACCATGCCTGTAATCCCAGCTGCTTGCCTGAAATCCCAGCAGTTCAGGAGGCTGAGAGAGAAAGATCACAAGTTCAAAACCAGCCTCAGCAATTTAGTGAGGCCATAAGCAATTTAGCAAGACCCTATCTCAAAAAATAAAAAGAGCTGGGGTTGTGGCTTAGTGGTCAAGTACCCTTTGGTTAAAATTCCTGGTACCAAAAAAAAAAAAAAAAATGAAAGAAAGAAAAATGAGCATCAGTTTATCCTAGGAAAATATTTTGGACTTTGATTAAATAATTAAATAATCAAATCAATTATAAATGCTGATTAGCAATAGATGTCTAATGATAGTAGAAATAATAGAAAATAAAATGATGTGGAAACCAAACAAAAGAAAAAATCCAAATTTACATTTATTTTCTAGTGAAAATTATATAGGAATTATTCCTGAATTAAAGTATTTCTGAATTAAATATATGAATTAAATATAATTTAAATATATTTCTGAATTAAATTTGAACATTTTTAAAAATTTGACATGATTCATTTTATAAATAAACTTGATAAGATGAAAGAAAAGTCACATGTATGGAACATATAGTAAAGGGCTTAGTAACTACATGGGTATTAAAAAGAATGATGTATGTTCTAATTCAGGGATAAGGGTTGTGCACACTAATACATGTTGAGGGGGAAAAAACAAAAACATGGTGTGGATTTGTTACAATAATTCTGCCAGATTATGGAAGCACAAGGTTTGGAATAACTGGGACTAGAATTGAAGAAACTTGGAGAATGGTCCTGACCCTAACTAGTTGTATGACCTTTTCATGGCTCTTTTGGCTTTCCCCAGGTTTCTTGTCTATAGAATGAAAGACTAGACTGGCTTATTAAGAAGTTTTTCTCTTCGCTTTTCATGCCTGTAAAAACTGACATGCAGAAGTTTGTGAGACAATAATATCTGTATTATCAGGGAGCGTGACGTCACCAACTCATCCTTATAGTCATGTTCTGAGACTCCCAGACCTCAGTAGCCTGAAGGAGGGGAAAAAACTGCAAACATATCTGTTACATATTTTTAGGTGGCCCAGAGTTGCTGCCTCTTATGTTTTTTGTTTGTTTGTTTGTTTTTTGTTTTTTACCCTTTCTACCAGTTTGTGCTTTCTATCTCATATGCACAGGGGGTCTTGCACTGTTGTTGTTACTCTTTATTCCAACTAGAATTTAATAAATTATTTAGCAGATGGATTTAAATCGCAGATTCACAGAATCATATTATTAAAGCAGTAGATTTTAATCACTTAGAAACACATGTGGGTAAAAAGAGAAAAGACATTAAGAAAAAAAAAAAAAACCCAGCTGAACACTGGCACATGCCCGTAATCCCTGTGGCTCAGGAGGTAGGAGGATCGGTGTTCAGAGGTGGCCTCAGCAACTTAACAAGGCCCTAAGCAACTTAGTGAGACCCTGTCTCTAAATAAAATATGAAAAGGGCTGGTGATATGGCTCAGTGATTAAATGCTCCTGACTTCAATCCCCAGTACCTAAGAAACAAAACCCAGATTTTTCTTAAAAGTCTTGGTGGCTTCATAAGGTAGGAGGAGTTGATTAGAAAAGTATAAAAGGAGGGGCTGGGGCTGTAGGTCATTGGTAGAAGCACTTGCTGCACAGGTGTGAGGCACTAGGTTCGATCCTCAGCACTACATAAAAAAATATTGTGGAGTGCTGGGGGTATAGCTCAGTCAGTAGAGTGCTTGCTTGGTATGCACAAGTCTTTAGGTTCAATCCCCAGCAACAACAACAACAACAACAAAGATATTGTGTCCATTTACAACTAAAAATTTTTTTTTTTTAAAAGGACAAAAGGAAACTATTTGCAGTTATGAAAATGTTCTCTATTTTGAGTTCTATATTTAGGAGTAGTTATATGAGTATATATTGAGCCAGAACTTACCAAGTTGTTAAAATGGGTGTATTTGCAAATTATACCTTAAAAATTATTGAAAAAAGATACCATCTTCACTTTTTTCATTTATTTCTAGATACCTATTTAATGATCAAGATAATAGGACATCTTCAAATAAATCAGAATGTTAGTGTTAAATACAGAATGTTCATTGCACTGGTTCTCTTTCATAGCTGCACATTAGAATTACTTGGGGAGCTTTTTTAAATTTAATTAATTTATAATTAAATTATAAATTCACATGTGATTGTAAGAACTAGTAGTGATAGTTCTCTTGTACCCTTTATCTGTTTGTTGCCAGTGATCATATCTTATGTAACTATAGTACATTTTCACAACCAGAAAACTGATATGGATACAATCCACAGTCCTTATTCAGATTTCAATTTGGAAAAAAATTTAACCCATTAAGTTCCAAGTTTTCAATTCTGCAAATATTTCAATGAAATTGATAATTTTCAATGTCAACTGAAAACTATAACCTAGAGCTTATTATATAATTTACTATAAATTAAATTTACTATAATTAAAAATAATGATATCATTAATATTATCACCAATGATTCACCTATTTTCTCAAAAGAATAGAACTCTAAAAACATAAATATACTGGGGCTGGGGATGTGGCTCAAGCGGTAGCGCGCTCGCCTGGCATGCGTGCGGCCTGGGTTTGATCCTCAGCACCACATAACTTAAATAAATAAATAAATAAATATTAAAATGCTCTCTCTCTCACTCTCTCTCTCTTTAAAAAAATAAATAAATAAAAACATAAATATTAATTTTAAAGATACCTACTCAATAAGTTTTTATAACTATCCCATAAATGGTAGGATGGAACCTAATTGGATTAAAAATACCCATGCCAGATCTCAGCCTGGATCAACTGAATTAGAAGGTCTCGGATTGGGGCCCAGGAGTGTTTATATTCATTATTCAGCACTGTGGAAATTAATCCCAGTGGAAAAATGATGATGTAAATGCAAGCATACCCATGTATTAGTTTTGAATACCATTGTTTAAGGAATTGAACAGCTTGAATGTGTAAAATGGGACTTTACTAAACCATCATGTGATAAGATGTTAATCCTTTAATCTGAGACTAGCTGAAATCTGTACTCAGGAATAAAAATATTGAAATAATGGTCTAATTTGGGGGGTAATGGTAGGTAGAGAATATGACTTATAGTTTCTCGTTAATAGATGAACAAACTGTGATCAAGAGCTTGACACCCTTATAAACGTAGTCCCAAAGAAACTATGCTTTCTCAGTTTTTTTCCCTCCTCTAAAAAAATGTAAGGTAATAATGATGGACTTTCTAAGGCTATCTTGTTATGCGGTTTTGTCTCTTAATAGTGTTGGTTATTTTGTTTGTTTGTTTGCATTTCAGTACTATAACTGTCATTTTATCAGGTGATGACTTGAATGTTTTCTAAGATGTTTGATAAAATCACAACTCAATATTTGTTAAGAACTGAATCTGCTACAATTAGAAGGAAAGTTCCTTAATATGAAAGGAACTTCCAATCAACTATCAATTAACTTTGGAACGTGATGTTAGAATATGAGTGATAGGAATTTATTTAGTTAGTTAATATTTATTTTTTAGTTCTGATTGGACAAAATACCGTTGTTTTATTTATTTATTTTATATGGTGCTGAGGATCAAACCCAGGGCCTCGAATGAGCTAGGCAAGTCCTCTATCGCTGAGCCACACCCCAGCCCAAGTGGTAGAAATTTAATACCATTAAAACTTTCACTTTTGTGATAAAATATCTACCCTTAAGCAACAAGAAATATGAAGGAATATAGAAAACTATAAAGATTGTAAAATATTTGAATAAGGAAGAGATATATGATGCTTTTGGGTGTGAATTTTTAAAAACATCTTAAACATGTTATTTCTCAAATCAGTCTATAAATTTGATATTATTTAGTCAAAATTTCAGTGTAATTTTTTTTTTTAAAGAGAGAGGGAGAGAGAGAAAGAGAGAGAGAGAATTTTAATATTTATTTTTTAGTTATCGGCAGACACAACATCTTTGTTGGTATGTGGTGCTGAGAATCGAACCCGGGCCGCACGCATGCCAGGCGAGCACGCTACCGCTTGAGCCACATCCCCAGCCCCTGTAATTGTTTTTGAGAAGTGGTAAAATTGCTATAAATTAATTTGATGGGACAGCCTAAGCTTTTAAATTTTTTTGAAGAATAACATTGTTTGGTGGCAATGTGAGAAAGACCTAGATGTAGTCAGTACTAAAATGTCCTAACATACAAAAAGTGGCAGTAATTTAAACAGTTCAGAATTGGTATAGAAATAGAATTGCATTCAGTAGAACCAAAGATGAAGTTCAAAAGTAGTTTAAAGTATATAGAAATATTTAGACTAAAAGGGTATCTCACATCAGTGAGAGAAAGGATGATTCATGGAATGAATAAATCTGTTTTTTTTCAAACTGGTCATAATGCACAGGTTAGTTATGAAATTGATTTAGTGGTCCGTGAAACAGAAAAGAAAATGTTTGCTATTACATAAGAATAAAATTGTTCTGTGGAACTTTTCTTTTGTTTCTATTATGCATATGTGTATCAGATTATAATATAAAATGTATTCCTTAATGTGGATAGTGGTTTTAGAGAGTTTGAAAGCCATTGCAATAAAAGGTATTTTGACATTGGAGGAAAGTATATAAAATAATACAGAAAGACTAAAAGAAAGGCTGGACTAAACTGTCAATAGAATAAAAAATAAGAATATTAATAGGAAGAGTCATTTAATAGATATTTCAAAGCAAACATGTGAAAGTAAAATATATGAGATTGTAGGATAAAAACAAAAATTAATATTAATTGTATATACCTCAGGCCAAAAACCATTAAATAAAACTGTTAGAAATTCAAAAGTAATGGAGAAATACAATTTAAAATTTAAAGATATTGTTGCTGGGTGTCATGGCATATGCCTGTAATCCCAATGGCTCTGGAGGCTGAGTTGGGAGGACTAGTTCAAAGCTATCCTCAGCAAAAGTGAGGCACTAAGCAATTCAGTGAGACCCTGTCTAAACAAAATACAGAATAGGACTGGGGATGTGGCTCAGTGATTGAGTGCCCCTGAGTTCAATCCCAGGTATAAACCCCCCTCCCCAAAGATAAAGATATTGTTAATCTTAAAGATATATTAACACAAAAATAAGATATATAAACAAAATTAAATACAATGAATAGGGAATATTTCTTATTTCAAATATATGTATCTATATGTAGATATACAGATATTTATCTCCAAATAGATATAGATTTACACTGGTGCATAAAGCAAAAAAATTCCACCTCAGTCACTTACTGTGGCTTTGCACACAGTTTCTAACTTTACTGTATTAGAAAAGAAACCAACTTACTTCTTTCTGTGTTTTTAGAGGACTATTTTAATAAAGGCAAAAATGAGTCTGAGGACAGCAAGCTTCGATTCGAAACTTATCACTTGATGTGGGAACAGATGAAATGTGAAACTGAGGTGAATGCTTTTTTGTTAACATTTCTCTTAGTACTGTAAATCCCATGTTTGTTGCTTCCCATCCTTCCATCAATTTATGAGTATTAATGAAATATAGGAAATATTGGTCAATAATCTTCATAAACTAGGAAAAAAAACTCCTCATGTTCTAAATATCAGGCATAGCTTTAGGTATTGGAGCACGATAGCTGGTAAGGCAAGGAGCTTTCAGGTGGTGGCACTCTTCTCCATTCATTTAGCAAGTTACACAGGTGTTAAATTAAGCTATTTCTAAACTCCATCACTCCTTTATTTTTATATCATTACCAAGCTCTTTATATTACAGCTCCGAACAAAGCATTTCTCCAGTGTAGCAAGTTGGTAGCTCTAGGGCCAACATCTTAAGCTAATGACTTGTTCTGTTTGACCAACATGTTGTTACACAAACAGTTGAATGCTTTGGAGAGACCTATGAACTTCCATCTTGTTACTGCTTTCTACTAATCTTTATTGCTTTTCACCTAGTAGCTTTGCTTGTTTGTATGTTCCATGTAATCCTTAAAGATATTTGACTTTGTGGTTTACAGTTTAAGCCTTTTTCCTTTTTAAACTGGATTGTCAAAATTTCCCCCATTGGTGTCCCTAACTGATGTCAAATCTTTCAGATCTGTTGTAAGTTCTTTTGGCCCTCAAACAATCCTATGCCAGTCTACTGGAGTTTTTCATACAGCACCTTTGCCAGTACAGCCTCCCTGATTCTTTTTTTTTTTTTCCTTTTTAATTAATGCATGACAGTAGTCTACTTTGAAGTATTTATTATACAAACATTGAATATATCTTATTCTAATTAGTATTCCAGTCTTATGGATGTACATGATGTTGAGATTCACTGTGGTATATTCATTTGTGTACATAGGAAAGTTACATCAGATTCATTCCACTGTCTTTCCCCTTCCCTGATTCTTCATCTGGCATTCACAGTGCTACCAGATTAACCCTCTGAGCATTCCTTCAGTAGCATACAGGATAAAATTAAAGTCTTTTTTAATATTTATTTTTTAGTTATAGGTAGGCACAATATTTTGTTTTTATTTGGTGCTGAGGATCGAACCCAGTGCCTCCTGCATGCTAGGCAAGCACTCTACCTCTGAGCCACAACTCGGCCCATAAAATCCAAATCTTTAAACATCATATATATTTGTTATTGGTCTAGACTCTTACATTTTGTCCATTTTCCTTTTTTTAGCACTTCTTATGTTTTTTATGCTTAGCTATATCTGTGGTTCTCCAGATGTTGAGTGCTTTCTTCCTTCCTTGCATCCCTAAGTCCTCATTCCTTCTAACTTTCCTGTGTCTCCTGTCTCTCCTCTATCATCTGCTAATGGCTTAATTCAAATTTATTACCTTCTCAGCTTACATTAGATGCTTCTGCTCTTATCAATTGTTGTGTGTTTTAGTTGCAAGTTTTCTTGTCTAATTTCTTCTTTTTTTTTTTTTTAGGATAAAGAATGCTTTCATTCATAAGGTGATAAATAAATATTGAATGAATAAATTAGAGGAATTTTAAAATGGGGGAATTCAAAGCACTAATCACTAGCGATTTAACTTTTTATTTTATCTATATTTCAATCATTTTGGTCATTTTTTTATGTAATATTTGAATTGAATCATTGATAATTTTCCTTCTAAAATCAGTGAGGAAGATCAAAATAGGGCACCCCAAAATAGTCTTCTTTATCATATTTTCTGATGGTTATTCCAAGAGGTTCAGACATGGGAATGGCTCTGAAAATCTGCTGTGTAAAAATAAATTTATATCTGTCTACATTAGTGAAGTAAACTATGAATTCAGGCAGATGCTTTTCTCTCTGACACCTCCCATCTCCCTAGGAAAGATCTTTCCTCTGGAAGGAGAGATTTGGAATCTGACACCTAGCCCAGCCAGAAATTACCACAGGTGGCCTTCTAATGACTGTTATCTATGTAATGATAAAATAAGGTTACCTATATAATCTTTCTTTGGTGCATTTTCTTTCCACCTTTTATAACATGTTGCCACTGCCCCCATACTCATATACCCTCAGCAGGCCCAAGCCCCTATTTCTTTCTGTATCTCAAAATGAAATTTAAGCTTCAACCATCTTGCCTTTTAGTCTCATACTTTGTGTGACTCATGGTATGTTAATACCTTTATATGCTTTATTCTTCCTCTTAATCTATTGTTAGTTTATTTCATAGACTAAAATTTTTGAACAGTCAAAGGGAAAAGAAAATTAGAATATCCCAACACCAGGAAAGACACCTCAGATTACTACTCAGAATAATGATTCATAAAATTTCTTTCTTTGTAGCGACTACAGGAAGAATTAAATAAAAATCTGTTTGACAGTCTAATTGAATTTCTGCAAAAATCTCATACTGGATTTAAGAAGAATTCAAGAGACTGGGGACATCAAATAAAACATAGAGAAATTCCAGTTGCTGCTCTTGTTCTTGGTATGTATGTTCCTCTGTTTGTTCACACATGTATGTATTTTTTTAATTGGTTGTATTGTTGAGAATAATGGGGACCAACTTTTCTAATAAAGACCTTTTATGTCTTTTCTTTATAAAATTAAACATACTATAGTTTGCATACTTTTAAAACCAATAAAACTTCATAATACTGATCATAGCACTGAAAATTAAAAGAAATTGATTCAGCTAGTGCTCTTTTCAACTTTTTGTCACAAGGGAAACTATTTGTTTTATTCTTTTTTTCTTATACATGTATGGGAGCATATGAGATTTGGATTTGGTAATAAACGACCAGTGTGTTAGTAGATAAGATTATTGTACCTTTTTTAAAAACCATATCTGGAGTGAGATTATAACATTCCATGTTCTTAGTTTTCAATGTCAGATTGTTTAATTATTTTTATATTAATTGCCTAGGAAGAGATTTGGATGGCTTGTGTATAAACTGCTTACAAATTGCCTGCTGTAAATTTCTTAAATATTTATCACTATATCTCATCTCTGTTAAACATCTTTTTGAACATTTCCCCCCCCTTTTTTTTTTTTGATGCTGGAGGTTGAACCTGGGACCTCATGTATGCTGAGTGCATGTTTTACCACTGATCTACACCCATATCCCTGCAAATTTCTCTCTCCTTTTGAAAATAAAGTAGAATTTATTTGGGTTTTAAATATGCTTTTCATTTCACTTCCAATTTGTTTATTTAAGGTTTGTTATACTAATAGGCTTTAATAAAAGAAATTAATTCTCTTGTTTAATACTTCTTCTAATACTCTTCATTACTCAAATCTTATTCCTGATATTGAGGACAGTATTTCTTACATGGTGATGTCATTACAAATAACCATAAGAGGATCCAGATTTTTGTTCTTTTAGATCTGGGATGAGGCCTGAAATCCTGCATTTCTAACAGGTTTCCAGATGATGCCATACTGCTGATCTCAAGACCACCCTGAGTAATAAGACTTAATGGAGTGATTTTTATAATGCTGTGGACCAGCATTCCAGAACAGCCTGCTGTCTAATTAAACACCTTTCATTTATGGATGAGAAACTTTGACCTAGTGATGACTACTTGTTCTATTAGATGCTTTTTTTTTTTTTACTGCCAGGTTACAGCAATTAGAGATGTTACAACAATTAGAGATGGAGAAAGGAGGCACAGTCAAGAGGGATAGCTTGAAAGCTTGCTGTGAGAGATTTAAAGCCCTGCCAAAAAAGAAAAGCTAATGGAAATTGCATTTTTCAAAATCATGGTTTGAGGAGAACATTTTTCCAGTTAAAGACATTGTTAATTATCCTATTTGCAATAGACAGGTTTATTGTTTTAAGAAACACAATGTTATTTAGAGCTCATAAAGTTAGTTAATGAAAGACAGGATGAGCCAGTGTTTAACTGAACTCCCAAATATGTCCAGACATGCAGTATTACAATCAAAGACTATGATGAATGCTAGAAACAGTATGATACCATAAAATAATTCTGCACTCAAAGAGTGGTTAGGTACAGTTGCACATACTCTGTTTTCAAAAAGGTACATATAGCGATTTAAAAAAAAAAAAGAGTCTGGAAAAAAATTCAAAAAAAGTTAAAAAATAATATTCTTATGTTTTGTCTTTTGGCAGGGGTAGTGCTTATTGCTGGCATGAATGATTCTGAAATTTTTCTTTCTAAGCCGTGGAAGTACTACCACGGTTCGAAAATGTGTGCTGCTGGTGTCTGCCCAAGTAGAAGGGACTTTCTAGAAATCAGATTGTTAGGCAAGATGTCAATTAATAGAATTATTCCCAAAGTGGTAGGGAAATTTCCACCCAGTTCTTACTATGCACTAAAATTGACTTGCAGGAATGAGAACGGAGAGTTTGGTAAATATCAAAATCATATAGTTTTAATTTATTTTTAGGCTCTACCCCCAAGAATTAGCTTAGTACAGACTTTTTCTATGTATCTAGTACTATGATTGCTAATAGAATTATAGTTAGATTCTCCTTAGTTGTTAAATCAGGGACATAATAAGGCTGGATTCCGTAGCCCCTTGTGTTTGATTAAAGAGATCTTTATGAATTTTGACTAAGTAATGAAATTATTCCTAAGATATTTTCAAAGGTTGACTACATATCTGTAGTAATTTTTTAAAAGAGGAATTGTGATAAATATTTTTTGAACAAAAAACATCTGTTACAAAGCTGTGTAGCTTCCTAATACTGTGAAAATATTGAGATAATTTATAAGGAAGAAAAGTTTATTTTGTCTCGTGGTTTCAGAGGTTTCAGTCTGTGGTCACTTGGCTTGTTGCTGGGCTCATGCTGGGGCAGTACATTTTGATGGGGAGCACGTAGTGGCACAAAGCTAACTTCATGTTGGCTTGAAGCAGAGAGAAATGGGGCCAGGGTCCCAACCTTCCTTTCAAGGGTATCACCCCAGTGATCTAACATCCTTCCATTAGACCCCCACCTTCTAAAGGTTCCATGACCTCTCAGTAATTGCCACAGCTAGAGACTAAGCTTTTAACACAGAGATGAGCCTTTGGAGGACTTTCAGGATCTGTAAAGCTTCATTGTGGTATGAACATTTAGGTAATCTATTAATGGCTATTTCTTCATTTATGTGGTATATTTTCTTGGTTTCTATTATGAATCCTGTTTTTAAAATGTTTCACTTAGCAGTTTGCTTGATGCATGAAATAACTTTTGTTGTAAAAGCATTACTAAAAAATAAATATTAAAAAATTATCTCAAAAAAAAGCATTTCTAAAAATGATGGTATAATATTGATGTATTACTCCACAGGTGTGAATGTTACAGATCATGATTTAATATTCAGAAGCTTAACACAGGCCCTCCAGAATAATGTCACACCATATGTAGTCTCATTGCAAGCTAAAGATTGTCCAGGTAATTTATCATGTAAATGCCATGATACCTTGGTGAAGTGTTAACAGAATTCTTCTGTTCTTCGCTTTCTCTTTCTGGCTTTCTTAATCCATTTTTATTTGTGGAAAGAGCATAGTCAGGCTGAGTTTTAGTGGCTCTCAAAGTAATCTTAACTAATGCAGTATTCTTTGCCAAATTTGCTTCCTTTTTTCTGGCTCCATTCCTGCCATATCAGCTTCACTGCCAATGCATTTTGCAAGATGTGTTCCTTAACCCAGTGAAAGTTTTAATAAATGGAAAGGTTTGAAACAGGAAACTAGAAGTTAGAAAATGGGAAGCTCTTAGACCAATAGAGAGTAGATTCCATAAGCTCATATTTATAGTCATAAATTATCTTATTTTCCGCACTTTAAAAGGCCAACATTAGTTTTAAAAAAAAAAAGTTTATTGGCAGAGYCATCAAACCATAAAGGATATGTACACTAATACAGTAAATTCTGTTTGGATTTGGATTGATACAATACTTTTGTGTATGTATTACTTTCATAATCATAAAGTGATTAGAATTATGTAAAAGCCCTAAAAATATCTTTTAAAATTATTATAAAGGAAGATTTGTAATGAGTAGGATAATTCATGTAAATAATACTTTTGATCTATTTTTAGAGACTTTGAAATCCTTTTTTTGTACATTGTACCTTAAATGTATACTATTTCTAAAATAATTTGTAGTTTCCATGTTTATTCATTTTACTTAGGTAACATTTTTATCATAGATGATTCATATAAACTTTGGTATGCTCTTAGTATGAACTAATGAAATTTAAGTATTAGTGCTAAAGAGCATTAATAGTTAATATGTTAAATGTTACCTGTATTGATGCTAAGTATAGAAAAATGCATTCTACTGATATAATAAGTGGAAGAAGAAGTCTCAAGGGCTTTCATTTTAAAAGGAAATAAGCTTTCTTTTTGTGTTTTACAGATATGAAACATTTTTTGCAAAAGTTGATCTCACAATTGATGGACTGCTGTGTAGATGCAAAACCCAAAGAGAAGGAAAGTATTCAGGTCACCCAGAAAATTACACATTGTTCAATGGATTCACTTTCTAGCTGGTATATGACTGTCACACAGGTAACATACACCAATGATTCTCTTCCACAGTGTTGACACATGATTGATGGAGCCTGGAATTATATTAAACATACAATTTTTTTGTTCTAATAAACAGCACAAGGTGCCAATTTAGTAGAAGCTTTTTATTTTTCCTAAGGCTATTAGAATTTAATTAAAAGTGTTCTTTTATTAATATGTAGCCTAATTCTTGATAAGTGGTTAAGTTTTTACAAGGATCTTGTATTTGTGGAAAAATATATTCTAGTGGCAAAAAGATAGCATCAGGAGTTGATTCTTTGTATCTCTAACAGTGGCTGTAACTTTAATATATTACCTCTTAAAGATCCTTGTATTTACTTCTGCGCAGTAGAACCATGCTGCCAGTTGCCACCGTCAACGTGATCCTATAGGGAATGATCATATATTATTTTTCTAAGAATGTAATTTGTTCCATGCTCAGAGGTCTTAACAATATAGGTGATTCCTTGGCAACTGTGCTATAAAACCACAGCCTTAATTTCTAATGCTTTGTACCAGATATGGACAAAAAAGTATTGTGGTGACATTTTCTAGTCAGCATTTTTACAGAAATCATTATAAGCTTCATTTTAACTTATATAGGGACTAGTTCTAATGCTTACTATATAATACCTTAATTGTATTAATTGGTTATACAATTAATTGGTTCCTCAATTTTGGATTTTTGATAAATCAAATATAATTTATGTCTGATATACTCAAAAGATTGGGCTTGAACCAGATATTTAGGATCCTTTTCAAGCTTGACATTTCATAGTAACAGAGTAGCAAATAGTGCTTTTCATTATGCTTTTTAATTAAAAGACACTAATTCTTACCTTAAGCAAAGCAAAATATAACTATACCCACAAAAAAGTCAATTTTGTAGAAAATTTTCTCTTCCCATGATTTTTTTGTCATTTTCCCAGCAGCAAATATAAATATCTATAACTCATATGAAATATTTATATTTCATATGAGTTATAGATATTTCATATGAGTTATAGTTCTTACCAAGCCTTTTTCTTCTTGGTTATTATTCCCATGACAGACAAAGATTCTGCTAGTAACTATTGAAAGGAATTGCTATTTATCTATGGAGCAGGGGGTGGGGAACACTATCTGTGAAATATGAAGAGAGATTTATCAACATGTGGCATTGTAGCATTGTTTGGGTGGTAAGGCTTACTTTTAATTACTTCTTTCCATAATGGCTTGAAAGAAGACAGACCCAAAAATATCAGGCAAAAAGAGGACAACTTCTAGCAAGTGGCAGTCTCCTCCTGTTGTGCTTATCTTAAAGGACATGGAAAGCTTCACCACAAAAATACTCCAAGACTTCATAATTATCAGCAGGTAGATGGTATATCACTTAGCTTTGGGGTAAAATTCTCTTTAAGAAAGCAATACTTTTAACATAATCTCCATTTAAAAAGACCAATTTAATGAAATTCATAGTGATTTCAAGTTTGTATAATTGAATGTTCAAAGACCTCATACCAGATTTGTCATTTGCTTTTGGACCCCAGTGAGAATCAAAGACAAATTTAGTCTGTTATTAATTATCATGGTAAGGTAGTTTAAAGTGTAGTTTGTCTTATCAAGGTTGTCTGTCTCTTATTTGTCCATTAAATGGATAAACTATTGCAGACTGATATTTTATCGGGCTTTATTTTCTGTTACCTAACTTTAGAGGCTCTGAGTTACATATAGCTTTACTGACCAAGACTTGTTTTCTAAGTCATCTTATATTTATGTAATATTTCTAGTAAGAAACCACTTTTGTGATTGGATTAATCAGGTTTTCATCACTGTGACCAAAATACCCGTCATGAACAACTTAGAGAAGGAAGTTTATTTTGGGCTCATGGTTTAAGAGGTTCATACGTTCAGTCCATGATTGGCTGACTCCATTCCTCTGGGTCCAATGTAAGGCAGAACAGAATGGGAAAGGGCATGGTGGAAGAAAGCTGCCAGGAAATACAGAGAAAGAGAGAGAGGCTAGGAACAAGATTTAGTTCAAAGCCATGCCCCCATTGATCCACCTGATTTGGCACCCCACCCCTGCCTACTTTTACCAAACCCAGTAGTTCTTTTAAGTTAGTCATCAATCAGATGGGTTAATCCACTAATGAGGTTACAGCTCTCATAATCTAATCATTTCACCTCTGAACATTATTTTGTTGCTTAACTAATGAGGTTTTTAGGGGACATTAAATATCCAAACTATAAAAGTAGTGTCATTGAATCTTCAAGGTAATCCTGTGAGACCAAGAATTAAGGTAACTAATATAACTTAAAACCATATGACATGTATTTCTCATAGTATCCTTTTTAGGATATAATTACTTTGGTGTTTTCTATATGTCAACTTGCCTTCATAGTTATACCTATAATTGTCTAAAGCTATATTGAATTATAATTTACTAACATATTAAGGATTCTTATTTTGATAGTATATTCTTCCCCCATTGATCCTAAGAGTTTACAGTCCACGACTTTTCTTCAGTGCATTTTATTTTTTTTGCATTGCTGGGGTTTGAACTCAAGGCCTCATGCATGCTAGGCAAATGTTCTATCACTGAGCTGCATGCATTCTTTGGCCCTTGACCTAGGACTTTTCTTAATGCTGACACTGTGTTTACCATGCTGGGCAAGTACACAGTACAGTATAGTGACCAAAAAAAAAAAAAAAAAATACTAGTTTTTATAGCTTACACCTGGAACCACATTAGCCATCAAAAATAAAGAAAATTTATGATAATAAGAGTTGAGGTACTTTACTCCTATGAAAATAGAACTGCATGCATCTAGAATACTACAAAGCAGGACTAGCAGGAAGAGTGGGCGAATCATCAGCCACGATACACAGGGCTTTGACTTGTACTAGCCTTCAAAAATAGTGCCTTTTTACTCTGGAGAAATCATTTGTGTTCATTCCAGTAACGCTAAGAATATATTATATTTGGTTTGCTTGAGAATTTAAGAATGAGAGGAAGGAATGGAACATTTTTTAGTAATGTCCATTAAAAAGTGTGTAAGAAACATCTTTTAACTATTAGCTATAATGGCTAGGTAACTGTCTTTTTTTAAGTGTCCAAATATAGAATAAGCTACCTGGAAATTACTGAGCTTCATGTGAGTGAACTCTGAAAACAGACTGTGTGGCCAACAGTGAGAAAGACTGTAGGTGAAGCTGAAACTTCACGTGAAAAGATAAATTGAGTAGTCCCTAGTACATTTTCAATTAATTTACATTTTATAACCTTATTGGAAAGTACTTGATCTTTCCAGATCTTGGTGACCTTATTTATAAAATGAAAGCATTCATTAATAGATTGATTCAGAGTTATACTGTCTACAAAAGAACCTTTTGTATTACTTTTAACAAGAGAATGAATGACATAGAAAATTTTAATATTTAGAATGATACTCATTAGCAATGTCTTTAAAGTAGGCATTAAAATAAAGCTAGTCTTATCTTGCAATGTGTTAAATATATTTGCTAAAGAAATTTCATTTTTATATTTTGAAAATTAGTCAACATCTGCATGAATTTCCACTAATACTCATTTTTGGAATCGCCACATCTCCTATTATCATCCACCGATTGCTTCCTCACGCAGTATCATCTCTATTATGTATAGAACTATTCCAGTCTTTGCCTTGCAAAGAGCACCTGACGACAGTACTTGATAAGGTAAAAAGAAAAAGTTTTACCAGTGACATAGGGTAAAAGGAAAACCTCAGGAATAATTGTGTATGTAAATGATAAATCTCTAAATCTCTTTATATATTTTATACAGCATATATCTTTATGTATTTTAATATTTTATTTAATGATTTTATAATTTTATACTGATATTTTAATAGAATTGCCTGTTCAGATAAAATACAAGCTTTATGAAATGAGTGATCATATCTATCTGTGCATTTATATCTCTTACCTATTATTACTCTGGAAAATTGTAGGCTTTTAAAAATAAATTTTTACAGAATGTGTAGACTTCCTAGTAACAATACCAGTATGTTTTGATTTTACCTTTTTAAAAAATGATTTGAAGTGGTTAGTGGACTCTTTTCTGATTGTCATGTTACTCTTGAGAATAGATAAATGCTAGAACTTTCTCAGGCATTAATTTCTAGTATGACTTTTTTTTTTTTTTGTACTAAGGATTGAGTCCAGAAGCAGTCAACCACTGAGCCATATCCCCAGCCTATTTTTTTTTAATATTTATTTTTTATTTTTTCGGCGGACCAACATCTTTTGTTTGTATGTGGTGCTGAGGATCGAACCCAGGCCACACGCTTGCCAGGCGAGCGAGCTACCGCTTGAGCCACATCCCCAGCCCCCCCAGCCTATTTTTGTATTTTATTTAGAGATAGGTTCTCACTGAGTTGCTTAGCGCCTCACCAAGTTGCTGAGGCTGGCTTTGAACTCCCAATCCCCCTGCCTCGGCCTCCTGAGCTGCTGGGATTACAGGCTTGCACCACAGAAATATGATTCTTTAGTGTTGACCTTCCACAGATTTTTTTTTTCTAGACTCCTTTAAAATTTGTTTTATGATGCTTGTAACCACCAATCCACTTATTTACTAATTACTTCTATACATTTTTTCATAAAAGTGATGTCCATCTGATTTATTGACACTTCTGGGGAAAATTTTCCAGGTGAAATATTTAATACAGCTTGGCTGTAGCTAAATTCAGTTGGTCTTCTACAACTGAGTTTTTGTTTAAGAAAATATTTTTTTTTTAAGAAAGGAAGGAAAGAAAGAAAAGAAAAGAAAATTAACCACTTAATACAAATTCAGGTTTCCATATCTTTAAAGTAAAAATGTATTAATTTTGTTTCTTATTCAACAGTACCTAATCTGTTACTCTTCATTAATTTGAATCAGGGATAAAAAAGAAATCTTATCAGGTAACAAGAATTGCCAAAACCTGCAACTTCTTCAGTGGTTTCTGGTGTGAGAAAAAGAATTATGTAAATAATAGGCAGTATTTCTAAAAATTAGGAATTAGATGGAGGATGGTGGATATCTTTGGATGTGAGGACATAGTATAAATTGCTTCCTTTTGTCGTTGTTACTGTTGTATAAATTAAAATTTTGATTGATATTCAACCTGAAAAAACTAGCTATTGTCGTTTTCATATTTACTGTGTCATTGTCTTATTATTTACATTTTATGTTTTAAGAGTAAAGACTAATAAGGACTCTTCCATGCCCTTTATCTCTTTCAGCTACTTCTTACAGCTCAGTTTCCCTTTAAAATAAGTGAAAAAGTGTTACAGATTCTAACAAACATCTTTTTGTATCATGATTTCTCAATTCAGAACTTTGTAAAAGGACTTCAGGTAAGACAGTAAATGAGTTAGTAACTCACAATCTGTTTTTTAATAAGTGGAATGTTATTTCAGACTGACTTTATTTAGTGTGGTAAGGCTAAATAAATGTCAAAATCTAGAATACATAAATTTAAGTTATTTTATTCTAGGTTCTACCATTCCTTTGTCACCTTGAAATAAAATGTAGAGGATACATTAGTTAGGATATCAGTAATGCAAAAAAACACTCCTCATTCTAGTGATTCTTAAACATTTAGTGGGTAGAGAGGAAAGGACTTTTTTTTAGAACTTGCTGAATGTTCTCAAAGCTTATAGATTTTCTGCCCAAGAAATGCCATATGGAAGGGATCAACTAACTTTTGTAATAGGCCAGAGAGTAAACATTTTCAGCTTTGCATATCTCATATGGTCACTGCTGCTGCTGCTGCATATTTGTAGTTCCTATGCTATTCAAACATAGATTGTACACTATAGTTTGATATCCTTTGCACATATAGTTATGTGTTTATGTGTGTATTCTTGTATACTGTGAATGCATTTTCTTTTGGTTTTCATGAATTACTAGAAGTTAATTTTTTAATGTAACATCATATTTACTCAACATAAAAAAGACCCTATTCTCCAGTTATTTAAAAGTTAATATTATTTCCTGATTTTGGCAAATAACTAAATTATCTTAGCAAATGTGATCATGGTCAAGTTTATTAAGACATAGATGTTGGTAACCTTCAGTGCAAAAGTGCCATATGATAATACTCATCTTTGTGTAGTGCTTTGAAGATCATAAATTATTTCTCTTATGTGTTCTTGCATTACATGAAATATTATAGTGGTTTCTTATGGTTAATACATGTTCTTTTTTTCAACATTGACTATTTAAAGATTATTTTAAATCAAGAAATCATTATTACCTTAGCAATATATGAAATTAAATGATATTGATATAATAACCTCCTAAATTTCTTCTATATTTCATTTCATTCATTTACTCATAAATATATATCAAGAGCCTTTGGTAAGTTAAGCACTGTGCTGATCCCTAGATAAACAGAAGAAAAAGCAGTCTCTGCCTTCAAATTGCACATTTTCTAAAGTGAGGGAGGAGTAAAGCCACAATTATAGTTTTGTGTAGAAAGTATTATGAAAGAAACCTGCCTTGGGGTTCCATAGGAGAATAAAAGCTCTTGGTAGGAGCTGGCCAGGTCAAAATTGGAAGACTATGTCATGCAAAGGCAACAGGAGAGGAAGCTGTTATATTAGAAAGCTATTGCAGAAATCTGACAAAATATGACAATCTACACTAATGTGATGACAATGGAACTAGAGAGAAAGAAATATGGGAGGATGAGAGAATCAGTAGAATCTTGACACTAAGCTGATGGTAGGATGTGTAAGAGGAACAAGGTGACACACAGGCTGTAGCTTGGCAGGTAGATTGGAGGTTGGTACCATTAGTTGTACATGTCAATCCAGGGTGAATAGTAGGTTTGTTGTGAGAAAAGGCTGGGATTTTTCTGTTTGTTTTGTTTTATTGCATGTGATTAATTTAGGAGTATGTTGGATATAAAGATTGGTGCTTGGGAGAAAGATTAGGAGTAAGAATTGGTATTTAGTACTTAACATTAAAAAGTGATGGTTAGGGTCATGTGGTAAGGATGTAGTGTTACTCAGTGTGAGAAAAGAGTAAGGGTAGAACCCTAAGGCAAGCTGACATGTAAGAGCAACAGAAAAGGAGACTAAAAACAAGGAAAGCCAATACAAAGTATAGTACCAGTGAAGTCAAAAGAAAAAAAAGTTTCAGAAAATATAAACTGGAGTCTTAAATACCTTTAGAAAGTGAATACAGAAAAGGATTTTAACCAGGTTACTTAATCTCTTGGTCTCTGTTTTCTCACCTGTAAATAAGGCAGTCAGATGCTTTTATAGGTTCCTGATGATTTCCTAAGCACTTCCTTTGTATCAAACACTTAATAATGAAGATTATCTTCAGTTTTGTACATGAAGCAATTGAGGTTTAGGTTAAGCAGCTTTGCCAAAGTCCAGTAGGTAATAAGTGGCAGTGTTTAGGTTCCAGAGTATTTGTCCATTTCCTAATCATCAGTGGAAAATATTTGTAAGTCCTGTGAGTAGGTGCAATAGAGCGTGTAATCATTCTGTATGTGTTTAAGCTCTCTCCCCTTTGGGCTGATATATTAACTACCTTGGTAATTGAACAGGTATTGAAAATACTCTTGGACAAAACAGTTAAGTGATATTTGGGGTCTTTTCCTATTTATAGCTGTATTATGATATATGTGCTGTCCTCCCATTCTTCTTCCCAAGCATGTTCCTTATCTTGCTTGGTTTTTATTTTTCTAATGTTTAAAAAGTAGTGTTAACATTGAAACAAACACTGTCACATTAGTATAATTGGAAAAGATAAATTAGTAAAAAAGATGATTAGATTAATATGTTAAAAAATAATTTATCACTTGGCATGAACAGTTACTTTCTGTTTTGAACTTGTTTCTATGTTAGGCTGGCCCTTTGCCTCCTGACAGCCTTTAGAGAATAGGCTATTTTGAAAGATTTGTTTTTGGCGTGGCTATTTCTTCCTTGACTCTCTTGGCTCAGAAATTCATCAGTTTACCTAAAAAGGATCAGGTCCAAGATTGCTGATCCATACCAACCAAGTACTTTAAGATTGATATGTAACTAAACTAACATGTTAATTTGTTGTGGGGAATGCTATTTTTTCCAGTAATCAGAAAGATTTACTCTTGAGGAACCCCCCCCAAAAAAATTGTTCTCTCCACTATTTAAGGAACTATATTCCTAGTAATAAGATTATCTGGAAAAATAATACTTGTCCTGAGAAAATTGTTTAGAATCAGAGTAATGAATATTTGGGTAGTTTTTTAAATTTGTCTTGCAAGAAATGTTAGAATTTGGAAAATTATTCTTCCTTCTGGGGAAACCACAACATTCTATTAGAATATTTATATCTAACAGACACTGTGCTGTATTTTTATCCATGGAATAAAACTGAATTTTCAGAGATAAATTTTCATTATTCTTTTTTATCAGTAGGTACAGTTTTACCATGTGGCATTTTTATTTATTTTAACAGACCAGATTTTATACTAATTTTAGCTTGGTATCATAATTCTTATGAGTATTGAGGCATATGTTAGATCAAGGTCACACCCCAGTGTGACCAGTCCCATCCATATCACATTTATAGTCATTGTGAATTGTTTCTGCAGATAGCTAATTATCCATTTATATTAGTTTTTTTAGTTTATATTTCTGAGATTATTATTTTCTGATCTTGTCCACAAAATTGGAGCCTTAAAAATAATAGAAGTATGTAGTCATTTATGTGCTGTTTATAGTGTTGTGTTGTTATTAAAAATATTAGTGCCATAAATACTTTTTTAAAGGAAACTTAAAATTGAGCAGATATAGGGCAAAAGATTTACTGCCAAAATATAATAAGTATATTTAATCTTAACATTTCTTTCAGCTTTCTCTACTAGAGCATTTTTATTCCCAGCCCCTAAGTGTTCTGTGCTGCAGTCTCCCAGAAGCCAAGAGAAGAATAAATTTTTTATCAGCTCATCAATGTGAAAACATCCGTCGTCTTCCATCATTCAGAAGGTAAAAAGAGAAGTACATGTTTAGCACATCTTATATTAGATTTTGGAAATAAAAGGGACCTTGGATACAGTTGTTTTTGAAGTAAAGAATGGAAAAATAATCTTTATTTTGTTGAGCACAATTTAAAACCATTTTGTTTTTAGTGATGGGGTTTGTTAGATTAGAAAATTTAGCATAAATCAAAATATTTTTTCAAAGGAACATAATTTTCAGTTACTTTGTAGACATAATATTTCTTATTTCTGGGTTATGTGACCTTATGATTAGATTCTTAAATGTAGCTGATACGAGAAGTTTTTATCATTAAATCATCACTATCACCTTAAATTATTTTTTAGAAGAAATGAAACAAATATGGCTACCACTCTAGGTAGCTATTATTTTTCCCAATGTTATTAAAATATGTAAAATGTTCAATTTTCTCTTTTTGTGTATTGGATGGAAACATTTTTAGGTATGTGGAAAAGCAAGTTTCAGAAAAGCAAGTTGCACTGTTGACCAATGAGAGATTTTTGAAGGTAGGAATATGAATGTGTTTCAGTTTCATTCTCCTTCATGAAAAAGAATATGCATATAAATATTTGTTGATGTTTAATTTTATTAAATATATTTGTATATCCTATGTTTGTATGATGTTCTAAATATTGGTAGTTAGGAATGTGAATATTAAAGATAATGTAAAATCTCAACTCTGAAAGAAGATTTTTCCTATCAAGATAAAATATTAAGAACATTTGATTTCTCTTCTGTTCTATTTTGGAAGCACTTTTAGATCTACTATGTAGAGATACTGTGTGGATTTCTTTTGACATAGCAGTAGGCAATCTCTTTTTAATATTCATTTTTAAAGGCTCTAATAAAAGCATGTAGAAGCCAGATGGCTCAGTCACATACTGTTGAGTGGGTATTGATTTGATTGGAAAGTATATTATATATTGATAATATAGTACCAGGAAAGAGGTAATGATCTTTAAAAGTTATGAGTTAGCCATCTAAGAGAGGGACTATCAAAAGTAGGAGATTTTTTTTTTCATTCTTGAATAAATAATACTTGGACATGATATGTGATTCAGAAGGCGAAGGAATAGGGAGAAACCTTTTACCACATCTGCTAACTACCCATTTTCCTTCACTAGATATGTCCAGTGTTACTACTCTCTTATATCATTCTAGAGTTAGTGTCCATGTATACAAGTAATTATATATATTTTGGGACTCCTTCCTTCTTACAAGAAGTATAGGATAACACTTATTTTGTAGTCTTGTTTTGGTTTATACTTAATCTTGGAAAAAGTTGTAGGTACAGTATTCTGTTGAATGAATGTATATTTTATTTAACAAGTCCCTTGGTGATGGACATTCAGAAACATAATGTCTCATTCATACTCCTCATGCTTTTCTAAGAAAAACTTACTAGAAAATTATAATAAAATTAAGATGAACTTGAAGATAAGCCTTAGTGCTAAGTGTAACTTTTGCTGATACATACTGTTTTCAAATTTTTATTTTTAATTTTTCTTTATTCATTTTTCCAGTGTCAGGTGTTGAACCTAGGGCTTTATACATGCTTGGCTTAACCACTGAGCTATATCTATAGCTCTTTTTCTAAATTTTGAACAAATTTTTATCCGAGAGGACCCATATTCTGTATAGTTTGTTTTTTGGAGGGAGCACAGGGTGTAGAACTCGGGGGCACTCCAGCACTGAGCCACATCCCAGCCCTATTTTATTTAGAGACAGGGTCTCACTGAGTTGCTTAGTGCCTAACTTTTCCTGAAGCTGGCTTTGATCCTCCTGCCTCAGCCTCCCAAGCCACTGGGATTACAGGCATGCGCCACCACATATGGCTCTGTATAGTTTTAAATACTAATTTACCTACAATATAAAAATCTGAAATATTGAGAATGGCTTGGATTAAACATTATTTTCTATTGCAGAATCCACAATGAGCTATAATATATAATCACTTCTAAATTGGGTTCAGTAATCATTTTTAATCCCTGTAACATTTTCAAGAGCAGTACAGGAAGTCCTTAAATCACAATCAAGTACATCTGGTCAAAAGGAAATTTAAGAAGCAGTGGGAAAGGATATATGTGTGGTTACGGAATCTTTTAAGATTAGCTAGTTTAGCTCTTTGTTGAGTCAGCTAGTTGCCAAGTGCATTAGTAAATGCATTAGTTAAAAAAAATAGATTTAGAGTATCCTTTAATTTTGAGATAATGGGGGGGATGTTTAATCTATTATAAAAATGGCTTGATGATTATTTTTTCAGTGATTTTTAAAAATATTTTCTATGCATTTCATTTATACCATACTTGTTGCACTATCAACCTTGCTTGTTATTATCTTTGTTGTGTTGATTTTAGGAGTGTATTTTTTATCATTTAAGAATATACTTTTTTGAAACTTGAGCAGTGAGAAATATGAAGAAACACAATGATTGTACCCTTACTTTAAAAATGTCTTCTATAGGCTACCTGGTTAATTCAAAGAACAGAAAATACCTCTGTAAAAAAAAAAAAAAAAAAATGAGTATGATTTTTTTAGTTTAGAATAAAAATATCTTTGAATATTTTATCCTCAGTGTAATGTTTCTGTTTTATAGTTCTATAGAAATGCATAATATTCAGTAATATGGTACTGCATGATACATAGCAAAATCCTGATCTTGACCTTAGAAATCTTATACTATGTGTACTTAAAAAAAAAATCACTTAACCTTATTTAAAGCTTAATTTCCTTATCAATAGAATGGAATAATAATAATTCCTAGTATGATTTCCTCATAGATTTAATAATCAAAGCTTATTCAGCAAGTGAAAATGAGTTGAAAACAAATATAACAATAGAACTTTTACATGTGCAAATAATAGTTACTATTATGCATTTTTGTTATAAAAATTAAGCTATCAATGTAATATATAGTTTTACATATTACAATATACATACTATATAGTATATATAATAACTATTATGTAGATATGCCTACCATTAGAGTTATCCATTTTATATCAGTTTTCTGCATTCAGATTTCTAAGAGCTAGACCTCTAAATATACTCCACAGAAATTTCCACTCTTTTTATCTTGACTATTTTTGCCCTAAAAATATGCCTTGCTTTCTGCCCTGTTGAACTAAACCAGTGGCTCCCAAACTTTAGTGTGCATCAGAATTACCTATAGGGCTAGTGAGAATACAGATTTCTGGACTCCTTCCCAGAATACCTATTTTCATAATCTTGGGATGGGGCCCAAGAATTTGCATTTCTGTAAGGTTCTGGGTTATATAGGTTATGCTGATATGGAAACCACTCTTTTGAGAAGCAATGAACTAGATTATGTAGAAGGCATAGATTGTTTCCCTGTGCCTCATTTTCTTAATTATAGAACTAAGCCATTAAGTCCTAATGTAAACAAATGATTGATCTCTTTCTATCCTCTGACTGAAAAACCCCTACAATTCCCTCACAAATAATGGACCCCAAATTGTAGATACTATTTCTGAACAGTATGCCAGCTTTGTATTTAATAAACTTTTTTAGAATGAAAAAATTCAGCTGACTGAATCTTGAACATTTATGGAAGATTCACTAGAATTTTACACCAAAATGGGTCATTAGAATGCCAGAAAATTAACTGATGAAATACTAAAGATTCTTTGCAGCTTTGCATTTCTAAGTAGTATGTCCCTCAAATAATTGTACAGTGCAGCTGAGTATAGTGGTGAAAACAATAATTCAGAATAAATTTGCACAATCTTCCACCCTTCAAACTTACGATGACTCTCTAGCTTTCAAAGCCTTTAATAGAAATTTCACCACATAATCTTTAAGGTTCCTTTTGGTGCTAGGATTCTATGATTTTATTTACTTTTTATTTAATGTATTAGTAATAATTTTTTTTGACTGGGTTAAATTATTCAGATTCCTCATTAAAATTTTTAGTGCCAAATTAGGTTTGGTACTAAATCAATTTAATTGAATATACATTAGTTATTATGTTAGACAACTATAAGTTGTAGGTGAAATGGCAAGATAAAGGACTGGGTATATTTTCACATATTTTGCACCATAGAGCTTTGGCAATCAGATTTTTTTTTGACCTTTCAACTTTTAAAACGTTGATTTGTGAAGCTGGGCATGTTGACACATGCCTATAATCCTAATGACTTGAGAGGCTGAGGAAGGAGGATAGCATATTTGAGGCCAGTATTAGCAGTTTAGCAAGGCCCTAAGAAACTTAGCGAGACCTCTCTCCAAAAAAAAAAAAAAAAACCCTTATAAAAATATATTTCATGAAAAATTAAAGTGAACAGAACTTTGAAATTCACTATAATTACAGAAATTATTTTTATTATTTGTGCTTTAACTTGCTTCAAGTCATCTGAGGAGAGCTTTGAAGAATATTGGGATCTCATATCATATTTGCATAATTGCCATCATTATCTGCTAATACAAAAACACTCAGCTTTTAAATACTAAGGTGTTTTTTGTTGTTGTTCTTGTTTTGGTACTAGGGTGTGAATCCAGGGGCACTTAACCATGGAGTCACTTCCCCAGTCCTTTTTATTTTGAGACAGGGTCTTTTAAGTTGCCTAGGGCCTAATTAAGTTGCTGAGACTGGCTTTGAACTTGGACTCTTCCTGCCCCAAGCGGCTGGGATTACAGGTGTCACCATGCCTGACTAAACACTAAGGTTTTTAAATAAGTGACAAACTCTTTTCCTTTTGTATCTTTTGTGCAAATGTTTGGGTTGGTGGGGGACATGTGGGAATGTCCCAGTTAGTAGGTAGTTTTTATACATCATATCTTATGCAGTGCAGCCACCACATAAGACAGATTTTTTAAAAATCCTTTTGTGTAGATGAAAAGAATCACAAATGATTGTATCAACTTGCTTGTCTAAAATGTCACAAGTAGTAAAAGTAAGATGGGGCATTAATGTCCTGGCCTTACATCAAAATCCCCTATACTTTGTAAAATACTTCACTGAGAATTAGTGCAAGATAACACTTTATTAGTGTTTGAGAAATCTGAAGTGGGGTTTTCAAATATCATGGCAAAAAAAATAATAAATGTGATTTGTAAAAGTCTTAAGAAAATGGTATGAGGCAACTTTAGCCTTTGCATTTAGGTTGCCATGTCCAGCAGCCCAAGTATGAGCCCTACTATATTCTACTGTTTCAATTAAAGAAAGGGAAACAGTCCTCTTCTTCCCATCAAATAAAATTATATATAAATATAATAAAATTATGTATATAATTTTGTCACTGTATACTTTGTATACACACACATACACACATACATATATACACACCTTATTTTGAAGTGATTTTCAGGGGAAAAAAAATCAAGTCCCAATATCTTACCTAAGGTTAGGTCTGTTTTAATGATGTGCTCTTTGTGTCAGTTATACTGTATATTACTAGTAATGATTTACTCTTCATATTAATCCTATACTGTCAAGAAAAAGTTACATTATGTTTAGCATATTTAATGAATGACTAATTTCATATGCTTCATTTAAGGAAATCAGTTTATGTACTTAAATTCAAATCAAAGTTGTTTGACATAGTTTCATCTGATAAAGAAACTGTAGGCCTGGGAATATGTCAGTAGTAAAGTGGTTGCCTCACGTGCACAAGGCCCTGTGTTCTGTCCCCAGCACTGAGTTGGGGCGGGATAAGGGTGGAGTGTTGAGAATTAAACTTTGTGCTGTATAGAAAACTTCCACCCTTGCAGGTGACATTTGAAGTTCTATTATTCTGACCAGTTAATGTTGTAGTGTTTCTCTGCCTATTAGGCCAACCAGATTTAAATCCATTGAGAATGGAAAATGAGTCTTAAACTTCTTAGAATTGTAATAGATTATTATTAGAATTATAAAGAAAAAAAAGATTACTACTAGAAAGGTAACCTAAGTCAGCACCTTCATGTTACAAATGAAAAACTATAACCAGGAGAAAGGAAGTGAAATATCTGAGTTATAGAACAAGTTAATGGTAGAGCAAGGATTTTTTTTTTCACCATTTAGTATGCTTATAATGGTGATTTGTAAACAAAAGGAACAAAATTAGTTCATAAGTTTGGTGGAGACTTGCCTGTCATCTTTTGCTCCACCTCTTTTATTTCTTTTGACAGACCTAAAGGGCATAAAGAAAAGGAAAATCTATTAGAAAAAAATAATGAATCTATTAGGAAAAAAATAATTAGAAAAGAGAAGAATAAAGGAAATAACAGTCTGTCACACATGATACAATGAGTTAGGTATTAGATTAGAGTATCAGGAATCAGCACTTTAAATCCAAGGCCTTCATCAGGTGCTTCCCTGATCCACACTGCCATGGAAGAGTACAAGGAACAAAAGACAGAGAGAGATAAGACTAGCACTCATACATATAAGTGCTAGGAGAAAGCCATGGTTTGGCACTCTCATAGATATCTGTAATATGGTGATGAGTCAAGTCTGGCAAATATTGCCAGCCAACATTTCTCACAGATGAGAAAAATAAGGCTTTGTTATATAGCAAGATGATTAGTAAGAAGTGTATTCTTAGTTAATAACTCTTAATTCTAAAATTCAATATAATCTGTTGTTTAACCAGTTTTTAATAGTTAGTGAATTGACTAAAAAGAACAAATATTTATAGTCCTTTTCACATACTTTCTGAAGTTTTCCTGAGGTCATTGTGTATCCCCGTCCATACAATTCTAGATACAAAATTGATAAATATGACTGAAATTAGATGAGAAATTTTTTTAAAAAGCGAAAGTATCATGGCAAATGTAATTTGCCTGATTGTTTTTTCTTTGCTTATATATATTTTTATATACACACTGGCTTTTCCAAAGTGATAATAGGAGCCCTGATAACAACCTCATGTAAGAATGGTTTTTGAATGAATGATAGGATTTATGAGATTTAAGATGACAGATTTAAGAGGATATATTACACACTGAGTGGCAATTCACAGCCTAATGTAAATGGATTTTTTAGGTTCAGATCATTATTTTTAAAAATCAGAGCCAACATTTTCAGGTTGAGAAATTTTATGTTATAAATTCAGACTTCTGCTTAAAAAAACTTAAAAAATTTGTCCCAGGGGCTCTGGAGGCTGAGGTAGGAGTATCACAGGTGCAAAGCTAGCCTCGGCAACTTTTTGAGGCCCTTAGCAACTTAGGGAGATCCTCTCTCTAAATAAAATATTTTAAAAAGGGATGGGGATGTGGCTCAGTGGTTAAGTACCCCTAGGTTCAATGCCTGGGATCCCCCCCCCAAAAAAAAAAAATTAAGAAATTTAGGCCACATCCAGCAAAATGAGTGGTGGCTCTTACTTAGAAAGGAGACAAATGGTGGCCCTCATTCATTAATAAACTTCTTCATTTCAACAAATAATTTTTGAGATCCTACTGTGCTAGTTATTCATTTAGGCGCTGAGAATATAGAAATGATCAAAATAGATGAAACCCCTACCTCATGGAGCTTACACTCTATCAGGGAGACAAACAAGTCAAATATTATGCTAGTGATAAATACTAAAAACGAAACAGTGAAACCGAATGGGGGAAAATGAAGTTTGATGTGCATGGAATGTGGAGTTGAAATTTTAGATAAGAGCCTCACTGTAAAAAAGGTGAATTTTGAATAAAGACCTAAAGGAAGTTACAGAGCCTGCCATACAGGAATCTGGAGGAAGAGAATTCTAAGAGCAAATGGAAGGACCTGAGGTTAATGAGGCTGCTATGTACTTATTCTCTTTTTCTTATAACAGAAATATTTCTGTTGCTATACCTGTCTCAAAATTCAGTAAAGATAAAATGGTCTTCATGTTTTAATAATAGAGAAAGCATATTTGTGGGAAATAATTAATATTTGTAGACAAAGCATATCTTTGTTAAAAAAAAATTATCCTAAACAGAATTATGAAATAAAATGGTACCAACTTTGACTGGTGTATAGAAAAGATACTTTAGGAAAAATGTAATGAGTAGAAAGTAGGATTAACATTTTTAACTTATTTTTCAGTTGTAAATGGACACAATATCTTAATTTTGTTTATTTATTTTTATGTGGTGCTGAGGATCAAACCTAGTGCCTCACGTGTGTTAGGCGAGTTCTCTCCCCCTGAGCCACAACCCCAGCCCCAGGATTAACATTTCAACAGGCTTTGTGTTTGCATATGTGTAGTGTGAGGCTGCTATCAAATATTAAGTAGGAAATTTTCTCATGTATGAGAACCTTTTACAGGTTTGAATTTATAAAATGGTACCCATAAAGTATATTAGAAATTATTCTCGTTAAGTAAAGGCATTGGCAGATTAATGTTATCTCAGTAAGACAGAGAACTTAGAAGACAAGTTACATGAAAAAGTTAATCATTTGTAATATTTTCTGTTATAGTTGATAAATAAACATGTATGAATAACAGAATCTTTCTTAAAGTCAGTGCAGAAGGCAAAGATCTAGAATGGTCCTAATTACTTTTGAAAAATCCATTAGAAAGGTTCAACATAGGTAGCTTTTTTCCCAGTGTTGGAACTAGACCTCCATTTCCTCCATTGAGCATAAGATGAAATAGTCTGCTGTGTATAGAAAAATCAACAATCCAAAATATTTTAAAATATGAAAACTTCATTCAGCACAGAGGTATAACACACAGTGAGAAATATGAAAGAACTAAAGAGGAAGCATGCACTTGCTCCAGGACATAGTTCCTTAAATAATGCAACATTGCCTTATACTGTGTTAAGTATTTATTTTCTGCTCTCATCCAAGTAAATTCAGTGAAAATATTCATTTTTATTGATTAGTTTCCTGTACATAAAATTACCCCATGAAGCAAAAGAAACTAAGTAGTACAAATAGCATGAAATATGGTGATTATTCAGTGGTAGATTTCTTTTTTTATATACCAATTCCTCCCCAACTTAAAATCTATTTAAACATACATTAAGGTGAACAATTAATAGCATTATGTGATCTTTGTTTTGGTCTACTATAAAAATCAAATTTAAATAATCTTTGATTATGGTTACTTTTGTTATGATAGGAAATCTTTTTTTTTTTTAATTACGAATTAAACAATGGAAGGAAAAACCATTTGGGTAGTAAAAGTTTTTCTTTCACTTGACTTGTATTTTTAGGTAATGACTCATACATTATTGACCAAGGAATTGATTTCTGAGTGAATAAGAGTTTAGAAAAATGTAGGAAGTTTGCTTGAATTTATTTATATATGTGGTGTTTTTTTCTGCAAAGATGATCACTAAAAATAATGGGTATCTGCAAGATATTACTGAAAGAAAGACAATACACAATCAATTCTTTTTTTGACTTCTGAGAGAAGAAAAAAACTGAAGAGCATGCCACAGATCATAATCCTCTTAAGACAATGCTATAAAAGTAATTAAAGCCCCCAAAATGCTTGGAAGGATATAGTTTTTAAAAATCATTTCTGTGCTATTTCATAAGAAATCCCAACACTCCTCTCTCCCCCAATATTTATCATCCATAGGTTTCTTCAGATACTTTTCACCTTATTACACTTGCAGGATTCTAAAATTATAAAGCTTGTTTTTGGCCTTAGAATTCTTTCTCATTTTTCTTTTCTCAGTGATAAATTGAGAAAAACCAGTTTTGAAGATTCTTAGCACATCAGAAATTTATCAGAATCAGCTCTGGTGCTTCTTGTAGGTTTCCTTCTTCACCTCCAGACACACTCTGGAAGTGCTTGAGAAAATTATAAGCAGACCTTTGTCAATTGTTCATTATGTTGGTACTGTACTCTCTGGTAATGTCTTCACCCTTCCAAGCCAGTGAGATGAAAGACAAATGAACCTTCCCTCCCTGTAACATATAACAGGTGATTGACATATAGACAGGAATATGATAAGGTACTCTCTTTCACACTTGTAATTTGGAGGACCAAGATATTGTGGCAATGATAAAGACACCAGGAGATAACATTCCATTATCAATTCTCCTATGTATAAAATATCACCAGACTTAAGACTAAATAAAAAATGCCCAGCCTTTATCCTGAATTTAATATGTATTTCAAATTTTCATGAGTTGAGGAGGCTGATTTGTAGTTGTGACTCTTCTTGTTAATTTTCCAGAAATAAATAAATAAATAAACATTTATAGAAATATGTACATATATCCATGAAGTAGATTTTATTATTAGTTTATTTTTCTGCCTTAAATATTAATAATGTACTCTGTGATTTTTTAGGAGGAAACACAATCCTTACTAGAAAATCTGCATGTTTACCATACAAATTATTTTCTGGTTTTGAGATGTCTTCATAATTTCACCTCTTCCCTTCCAAAGTACCCACTGGGTCGACAGGTAATGGCTTTCACATTTGGAATCTATAAAATAGAAGTAACAGTGCTTTCTTGTTTTGATTCCTGTAGCATCCAGGCTTCAGAATTTGAAATGGATCTAATTCTTAAAATAAGAGCACAATCCACTCCGGTTGTACATAGTACTAGTAATTGAAACAGTGTTTGTTGTTTGTTCTATGGCCACAGCTAGAAACAGCCACATGAATCCCAGTGGTATTGTTTCCCCTACAATGTATTTGTGCTGAGGCATATAAATTTTCTTTGTTTTGCATTTCTTTTTCACCTCTACATACAGAGAGCTAATTTGCCACTCTTAGTGAACTGGAAAAAGGAATCTGAAAAATGCTTAATGGTTAACCTTGCATTGCACCAAGAATTAAGAGACAGTTCTGCACCTTGCAGAATTATGCTCAGCTAACTTTTGTATTATACCCTAAAGCTATAATCCATATATGGAGTAGATGTTAATGGAATAATTCCTAACTTTCAGATCCTTAACTTAAAGTTTTGGGAAACAAATACAAGTATATAAGAAAGACTTGTTTATGAGATGCTTTCAACCTCAGTGGGCCTTTTTTTCCCTCACATTTATCATTTTCTTACTGCCAGGTAACTAGTGGTATTAGCCAATCCTTATATTATATGTTCTTATTTTACTTTTATGAAAATTACATTCTTGAAGAGTCTGATCCATATAATAAATGCCAAGGTTGTTTTTCATCTAAAAAAATTAGCTTTTAATAACATAAATTTTGTGTGTGTGTGTGTGTGTTGGCTCTATATGTATGATTTTGCAAACTAGCAGAATATAACTTCTTGTATGACTTTTAGTTCCTCACAAATGTTGTTCACTTATAGATCAGAGAGTTGTACTGCACATGTTTAGAAAAGAACATATGGGATTCAGAGGAGTATGCATCAGCCTTGCAGCTGCTGAGGTAGGTTTTTTTTTATTGTTGTTGTTTTCTTTTTTTGTCTGCTTTAAGCCTGCCAGAAACACCTTCCTCCAGAACTCTGCCTGCCGAAAAGTTTCGTAAGTAGCCATATCTTGAATTTATGCTTATAGCTGTGGTGTTTTTAATCTAGTAACAATCCATTTTTTTCTGGCATATATTCTTGAATTCATGCTTATAGGTGATGGTGTTTTTAATGTAGCAACCATTCATTTCTTTGCTTGTTTTTGAGCTTTGATTTTTAAAGGAAAATCTGTGATTGTTTAGTCATATATTGACACTATGCAAGAAGAGCTTAAATGGGGATTATTTTAATTCAGTCAACCTAACATCATGGCAGGGAAAGTTAAGTCATGGAAGACAGCCATGGCCCTGACTTCATTGGGTAGAGAAATGGCATCATTGAATTGTATATACCCTGTGAAGGAGGTCACAAAGGCTGGCCTTGATTAGGAAGTAACAAGGAGTAAGGCTTTGATGCCTTTGCCTACCTAAACTGGCCCTATACACTTTAACATTGGATAATTACTTATCTAATATAATAAGATGTCCTAGTATTATTACCAGGTATCAAAAGATCACTTATCATCCCTGACAAATAAATCTTTTAAAGTTGTACTCATGGGCTGGGGATGTGGCTCAAGCGGTAGCGCGCTCGCCTGGCATGCGTGCGGCCCGGGTTCGATCCTCAGCACCACATACAAACAGAGATGTTGTGTCTGCCGAAAAATAAAAAATAAATAAATAAAAAGTAAGATGGACACAATATTAAAAAAAAAAAAAAGGGGCTGGGGATGTGGCTCAAGTGGTAGAGCGCTCACCTGGCATGCGTGCAGCCCGGGTTCAGTCCTCAGCATCACATACAAACAAAGATGTTGTGTCCACCGAAAACTAAAAACTAAATATTAAAATTCTCTCTCTCTCTCTTTAAAAAAAAAAAAAAAAAGTTGTACTCATATTTTCCTAGGCATGGTGGTGCTTGCATATAATCCCAGCAATTTGGGATGCTGAGGCAGGAAGATCACAGATTTGAGGCCAGGTTAGGCAACTTAGACCCTGTATCAAAATAAAAAATAAAGGGTAGAGTGCTTGCCTGGCATGCATGAGGCACTGGGTTCGATCCCCAGCACCACATAAAAATAAACAAATAAAATAAAGGTATTGTATTCATCTACAAGTAAAAAAATATATATTAAAAAAAATTAAAAAGGGTTGGGGTTGTAACTCAGTGATAAAGCATCCCTGGGTTCAGTCCACAATACTACAGGGAAAAAATTATACTCATCAGTATCATTGACTTTACTTCTTATATGTATGGTGACTTTTAGTTTTCCATAAAAGAATGATCACTTGGATAGTGAGAAAGGGAAATCAAATGTGACTAAGTTTCTGCACACAGTCTTGTAGTTTTCCTCAGTGGATATAAATGCTTATATGAAAATATTTTAAAATATAAAAACTGAATTTTTTTTTAAGTCCTCATTTCCTCTGGTCCACAGAAAAAAACAGATGGGCATAGTAGGAGGCAAATTCACACTTAAAGCACATTAAGTCCAAAAACTTAATATAAATATTAGTGCTTTAGCAGGTGCAGTGTTAAGATATGAAACTAATTTCATGCTATCTGGAAAAATAACTCCCCATGGAAACTTGATTGCTACTGAAAACCTATTTTTTATTCTATTTTTTAAAATCCCAATAAATGATTTCTATGTACTTATAAACTTGAACAAGAATATTTCTGAGATTTATTTTGCTTTATATTCAAGTAAACATGTCTATCTTAAATACCCAATTGGTTCTTGCTGGTTTTTTTGTTCTAATTTCATGATTAGTGATTTTCTTCCTTTTTTTATATAAATATGCTCAAACTCATAGATTCCTTTGTCAAGTAGGAAGTTGTTCCTTTGCTTTTGAACCTCCATAACACTGCTGATCTTGGTATAGTCAAGGATCAAGAATGACAATTCAAAAATAGGGTAAGCAAACATACATAACAATAGTAACCACCATTCATTGAAGGCTTGCGATGTGCCAGACACTGCATTAAGGCACTTTAGTTAATTTTCCCATCTAATATAGTTCCTCTTATGGTAGGTATGATTAGCCACACTTGACCCCTGATGCAGCTGAAGCACAGATAGGATTTATTGACTTGCCTGAGATCACTTAACTGTTGATGGGACCAAAATTCTAATACAGATCTGACTCTAAAGCTATTTATACCAGCTGCTGTTCTTTATCAAAATCTAAAATATAGGTTTGGGAATGTGAATAAAAGAAGAAACGTACATAGAAAATGAGATTTTAGTCATTTTCCTAAGCTCAGGTCAGAAACATGAGTGGTGAAAAGTGTAGGAATATAAAAAAGCATTGGGAATCAGAATAGCTGCTATAGGAAGAACAGACAAGAATCTGGACATTACTGAAGAGGAAAGAAATCTGGGAACCTCTAGAATGGAATTAGTCTTTTCTCTTTTGTACAGATTAGATGTGGACAAGAAGTCAAGGACATTTTTCAGTTTAGACATTCTACATAAGAATAATTTGAGTTTAGAAAGCCAAGCATTCTTACTCCCTATCTTCAAACTTAAATTCATAAGAGGAACTAAGATTAAAATCATCACTGAGTGTTGCTTTGGAAAAAAAACTTAGGTATTGTGTCCATCTACAAGTAAATATATATATATATATATATTTAAAAAATTAAAAAGTGTTGGGGATGTAATTCAGTGGTAAAGCTTCCCTGGGTTCAGTCCGCAGTATTGGAGGAAAAAAGTTATACTCATCAGTATCATTGACTTTACTTATATGTATGGTGACTTTTAGTCTTCCACAAAAGATAATGATTACTTGGATAGTGAGAAAGGGAAATCAAATGTGAATTAAGTTTTGCTAAGAAACGAAAATCTTATAAAATATTTTTAAATTTTTTTGTAAAAGTTACTGAAGATGGTATTTCTCATGAAAAATCCTTTTTCCCCCTGTGGAAACTGGCATGTTTCAATAACCACTGATCTACTTCATGAATATTTGATGGCCATAGGAGTATTTATAAGGAGACTGGAATGGTGATGGGCACCTGTAGTCTAGCTTATTATTCATATTTGACACAGGTCATCACTTCTTTCTTAATGACTTTTAGTACTCAGACCCTCTTTGTCTTTCTCCTGTCTCAGTGTAGGCTCCTTGTCAGTCTCTCTAGTGTTTTCTCTTCTCTCTGATATCCTAACATTACAGCACCTGAAGCTTAGTCATAAGCCCACAGCTCTCTTGTGAGCGCCAGACTGTTATGTTCATATACCATTTAATATCACCATTTGGATATCCAGTACACATTTCAAAGTTGACTTATTCAAAACTGAATTCCTCATCATCCCCTTGACACCTAGCATTTTTCTGCATCCTTCCAGTTCTTCAAGCTAAAGACATGGGCTCTGCCTTAAAAATTTATCAGGATCCAAACCTCCTCCTCTTTAACTGTTACCATCTTGTTTTAAGTTGTTATCATCTTTCACCTGGGTTATTACAGGAGCCTTCTATCTGGTTTTCCTGCTTCCCCATTTGCTTCTGTACAGGATTTTCCTCAAAACAGAAGGCAGAATAGTCCATTTAAAATATGGCTAGTAATATCATTCCATTTGTCAAAATCCTTCATTAACTCCCCATTTCACTCAGGGTAAAAGCCACAGTCTATACATTAACAATACATGATCTGCCAGCCACCCCCATTATTTAGTGGTTAAGGTTTGGTTTTTGTCATGGTAGTTATTTTGTTTTGCACCTAATGTTCTACCGTGGACATAGTGACAATGTTTCGTGATGCAGTATATAACATGGTCAGCAAGAGCGTGAATATCAAGCCAAATTGTCTGAGTTCAAATCCCAAGTTTGCCAGTTACTAGCCTTGGGACTCTGGACAAGTTACTTAAATTCTTTGTGCCTCTGTTTTCTCATCTCTAACGTGGGAATAATAATACTATTTCATAGTGAATTGTAAATATTATATGTGTGCATATAAGTGTTAGCCATCATCAGTGGTAACACAGATTGTTCTATCTCATTATTTATTATCTTTATATAATATCCTGTGTTTTAGAAGCATAACTTTTTTTTAACAGATACAGCATTTTTTATACCTTTATTTTATTTATGCATATTTAAGTGGTGCCGAGGATCAAACCCAGTGGCTTGCACATGCTAGGCAAGTGCTCTACCACTGAGTCACATACCCAGCCCCTAGAAGTGTAACTTTTAATTATTTCTTTTTTGGATATATATTTAGGTTGTTTTAAATTCCCATTACAAACAGTAATCACAGCATATATGTTTGTTTACACATTTGTATAATTTCCACAAAATGAATATATAGATATAGATTTCTGAGTCTAAAATACAAAGACTATTGTATCAGCATACACTAGTATGTCAGTGTGCTTTTTCCCTATATATATCTTGATCTCTTTGTGGATTTTTAGTATCTTCTATTGACCTATCTGTTCTTCAGTAAGGACCATCTGATTTTAATCACAGAAGCTTATACTTTTTGATATATTAACAACCCCAATACCTGCACTAAAGTACACAACACATTGTTCTTCTTTATCAAAAATGATTTTTTCCAGATAAATCTTATTGAACTTTTAAAATATACCCACCAGAATTTTGTTTCACACAATGGTAGAATGTAGATTGATTTGGAATGATTTGTATCTGATAATATTGAATATTAGAACTTAAACTGTTAATCGTTTATTCAGAGCTTTCATAACTTTATAGGTCTAAAACATTTTGCTATAGTGTACATTGCTGAATATTCCAATTTTTGTTGCTTTTTTTTTTTTTTTTAAGAAAACTGTAAAACTAAAAGAATTACAAGTTGGTTAACCAATATAAGAACAGTTTGCATTTTTTCAGCCCATCTTCATTTAAATGTCTGATTTTTTCACTACCTGCTTCTGGCATTTTAGTGGGCTCTAAGTCTGATACAGACTCCCCTCTTGACATCAAGATTATTTTTTTGTTTACTTCCAGTCTTTGGCTTAGACCGATCCTGGAGATCAGCTTCCAGGTCAGACTGCTGAACCTCAGGTTTTCCGTCATTTTTTCTCTCCTACCTGGTATAATATCCTGACTTTAAGTTTGTGGTTCCTATTATTGAGGTTGTTCATCACCATACTGCTGAGCAACCATAGGCTCAACTGGCTGAGAAGATTCATGTTCATCTCATCTTCCTTTAGATTTAGTTGATTATCTTACTTCTTCACTTATATTATTATATACATGGGTGAGTCTCAGTGAGAAGGAATGAAGTCTTCAGAAAGAATCAAGATATGACCTTCTTGGCACATTTCAGTTTTTGAGGCCATTTTGAATATGTTGTTTTTTCCATTACATAGTTTAATATATAGGTATTACTTATGTGTATATGGATGTTTACACACCCACACACGTTTATCTTTTTTCATCTACCCTTTTACTCTAATATTTTTATCATACTTAGATTTTATCACTGTACAGTTGGTCACATCATATGCAACTAATAAATTTCATCTTCCTTTTTATTGTTTGAACTACTTGCTTCTTTTAATTTACTATAGTAACTAGAGTCCAGAATGATGTTGAATAATAGAAATGAGAATATATATCTTTGTTGATTCTGTGTGTGTATAATTTTACTGGAAAAGATTTTAACTAATAACTCTTTGGGTTGATTAAATTATTATTTCTAATTAGCTTTAGATTAAATCTTGTTTTGTGTGAAACCAGTAGGTACTTGAAAAGGTATAAGATCTTCTAGTACTCTGGAAATAGTAAGAACATAATCTTAGTTGGGCAGGGTGGTGCACTCCTATAATTCCAGCTACTTGGGAGACAGAGGCCAGAGGATAGCAGATTTAAAGCCAGCCTGATTTACTTAGTAAGACCTTGTCTGAAAATTTAAAAGGTAGGATATATATAGTTCAGTGGTAGAGTACTTGTCTAGCATGTGCAAAGCACTGGATTCAATCCTTATTACCACGGAAGGAAGAAAAAAAGAACATAATCTTAGGCTAACAGTAAGAGGAGTAACAAATATCTGAATCTCAGAAAGTTTACATCTGAGGTAAAAGATCTGCCTCTTTCAGTCAAATGCACATTAGAAGTTATGACTACAAAAGTTTGCCTGTTTTCAAAATTATATGACATAATACCTTTTTTTGGTTTTGCATACTGAAGATTAATAATAGACTAGACTTGACCTTCCTCCATGTTCCTTTGTTTGTATCTCAAAGTGGAGGAGAAATGTGGCAGTGTATAGCTGGGAAGTTAATCCTCAATGTATTACTGATATAGATTAGACCGCCAGCATTACCTCATCTTCTGCTCCCCTCCAAGCAAGCCAGTGCCTTTGAATCCTTGGACACTGGAAATACTGACTTTGTCTATTAGAGTAAGGCTAAAGCTCAGGTATAATGGATTGTTCAAATGCTTTGAGTTAACTCTCTTAACAGTTTAATTTCATCTGACCAATAGAAAGCAAGAAACTTTAATTAATCTCTAGGGTAATCAAGAATGAAATGTCTTAGCCTATTTTTCTTTGACCTATTAGCTGTCTTTCATTCACAGATAAAAGATTATGCTTTAGATAATTGTTGTAGAAAGAAGAGAATATTTTATGCTGTTTCTTAACACTGTGGAAAATTTTTTGTCTACCCCTACCAGTTTCTGTAAACTTAAGTTTATTTTACAAAATGACCATATTCTGGATTTGACTGTGTCTTTATGGTTAATATTAGATCTTAATCTTAATAATTATAACCTTACATCATTTATATACTTGTGTAATGCAACCACTTAATAATTACTAGTATTGACCCTGGCTCCATTTGATGATGTTATTTGAGTACAGTCTTAATGGAGAAATCCTGTAAATGATGACTCTGAGAACAGGATCCTAATTTTAGATTATCTATATTTACTCTCCATTTCTTTTTTTATTATTATTATTTTTCTTTCTTTTTAAAATATTTTATAGTTGTTGATGGACTTTATTTCATTTATTCATATGTGGTGCTAAGAATTGGACCCAGTGCCTCACCCATGCTAGGCAATCACTCTACCACTGAGCCACAACCCCAACCCCTCACTCTCCATTTCTAACAAAGATTTGTTTAAAGTTCAGAGGATTTGCTGGCTGATGTTCGTAAAGTCCTTAGGAGATTAAAATATAGTTAAATGGTAATAATTAGAAAAATGATAGTGATACTTATATTTTTGGTCATTTGAAGCAAGCTTGCATTTAACAAGTCAGATCTTCAGTAGAAATTCTTGAATTCTACTGAATTCTTGTACATTCACATCAGAAAGAAAAGGAAACTTAACATAAAATGCCTTAAGTGTCGTAGTTGCCATACCGGATTCTTGAAATGCATATAAGTCTCCATCTAACATGCAAAATATGACAAGAAAACAAACCTAGGATCAGAGGTGTATAGTAAACTCACTCCGTATTACTAAATTCATACTACATTACAAATATAGTATGTGTCAAAGCTAGGTTGTGAACCCAGATCTCTGTATATTTTCAAAGCCAAGCATTATGATGAGAACTCTTCAAGAGTACTTCTGAATGTCACATGTGTTGAAGAAAATTGAAGCAAGAGATATAACTCAATGGTAGAGGGCTTGCGTAGCATGCACAAGGCCTTGGGTTGGATCCCCAGCTCTGCAAAAGCAAGCATTGAAGAAAATCTCTCCCCAAAAACGTCAGTAGCTACTAAGGAAGAACTTACACCATTTTCTTCTAAACAGAAACATTTAATATATAGAAAATATTTTTGAATTTTTTAAATTTTGCAGTTATATTACATTTTCTTTCACTGATTCTTTTCTAGGATGTTGGCAAAGGATGATCTGATGACCATACTTCAGAAATGTTTCAAGGTTTTTAAATCCTCTTCTGAAAAGCAGCTTGGCAGCACAGCAAAGAGAATAGAGGAGTTCCTGGCCCAGTTTCAGAGCCTCGATGGTGAGAGTATAATATCCTGCCAACTCTACTGGCTGTGATAGTCATTTAACCAAAAGGACATGGAAAACCCCTCCTGATATGCTGAGAGATGAAGAGATAAAATAGTTCTTGATCATTCAGTATACCAGGCCTGAGAATGTCACATCTTAACCAAATGCTTCCCTTCTAGATTTGGTTTAATCAATGAAGAGTATCAAACAGGCAGGAAAATTTTATTTTTCTTCACACACACAGTTTGGAGGACTTGTCTTTAAAAAAGCAACAAAAAGAAATGGAAAAGATTAGAGAGTAGCAGGGCATCACTATTGATGACTCCTTTTAGATGTTTTTTCTTAAACATTTCATCAAGTTCTTTATAGATTTCAAAAAGACTACATAAATCATTTGTAAGCCTGAAAAATTAATAGCTATGCACTGCTTTCACAGCAGTGAGGCTCATTAGTATGCTGATTACCAAATATGCATGGGGCTTGCTTTAATCGGATTTACAGAACCTTGAATCTTTCAGTCCTAAATGAACTGAGACAACCTGGCACTCCTCAGTATTGGAGGTTCAGAGTTTCTTTTATTTTGGTGACTGTGACATGATCATTTATATTTTCTGAATACTTGGGGTTCCTGACTATGTGTAGGTAGCTAGTCATGTTCTGTTCCCTAGTGCTTCAGGTCTTCTGTGTTCTAATAGGACCCACAGATTGATACTGATAAGTAACTTTTCCTGGGCTTTATCTTGCTTTATTTCTAGCACCAGCACATGATGCTAGGAAAAATATGGGTTATGTAACTTTTACTTTTCCCCTATTTAGGTGAAGTTTTTAATGAAATATGGGGAAGGAGGTAGTTTGGTATTTACAAGCACATAGAGATGGTATGGTGAAAATATCTTAATTGGAATATCCATTTTAATCCTTTATATGTTTCCCAAGTATTTCTTCTTGTTGAAAATCTTTTGGATTTAGGGCTGGGGGTGCTGAGGATATAGCCCAGTGGTAGATTGATTGCCTTATATGTGTGAGACCATGAGTTCAATTCCCAGTACTGGCAAGAAAAAATCTTTTAGGTTTAGAAAGCATTTTTTACAGAAAATCTTTCCATGTCTCCCTATAGCTCTAGTACAAAGCACCTGATGGGTGCTCAGTTCTAGAAGGTGAAAGCAAAAATTTCCCTGACTAGAGTGGCAGATATAGACAGAATGAGGAAGTTTTCCATGGGCATTAAAGGAATTCCTCCACATCCTATATTTCTCTCACCACCATAGCATAATCTGAACCACTTTTCAGATCATGGAAATTTTTAAGATCAAGAAGTTAAGAGAATTTAGTCAAATTGCAATCAAAACTGAAGTCCATGAAGACTTGTTTGAGGCTGCACAGCTACCTAGTGGCAGCACCCAGACTAAATAGCTCACTTCTCTTCACAGCCCAGCTTATTGTTTATTTTGGTTTGTTTTTTTCTCACCAATTCATAAATTTAATGCACAGAGAGGGGCTACCCTTAAGGACACAGACAGGGCAAAAAACCTAGAAGAATATAAGATAAATTAGGTAACTTTCAATCTAGTGAATAAATTCTGTGATATTCTAGCACTATATAAAGGAATGCAGTTTTTTCAAATGGGAAGTTTGAAGATTAAGATGATTAGAACCCTAAAGAATAAAGAATTTGCACCAGGTGCATTGATGCACACTTGTAATCCCAGTGGCTCAGGAAACTGAGACAGGTGGATCTCGAGTTCAAAGCCAGCCTTAGCAATGGAGAGGTACAAAGCAATTTAGTGAGACCCTGTCTCTAAATAAAATACAAAATTGGGCTGGACTTGTGGCTCAATTGTCAAGTGCCCAAGTTTAATCCCCAGGACCCCCCAAAATAAAAATAATTTTAAAAGAATAAAGAATTTTACAAGTTATAGCAAAACCACTCTCTTGAAGAAATGGCTTGATTTTTTAGTAATAAGTTAACATTAGTAACAAACTGTAATTTAAACTCCCCACATTAAATAAATAGAAATATTTGACTATATGCTATCTCTGGCTCCTTATCAGTTAGGGAGGGTTAAGTAGGGCAGAAAATTATATCAGCTCTATCTTTAAGACAGCTACATGCTAATAAAATGTAATAAAGAATTTAATAGATGTTTTAACCTAGTATCTTCCTTGAGCAAGGAATTATTTATAGCTAAAAGAAATTTCTTTCAGAATCATATATATTCTGTAGCTACATCCTTCTGTCGTAAGATTTGGGTCATGTGTCATGCAAGTGTCAGGTTCCCAAAATATACCCGCACTTGGAAGAAGGTATCAGAACTTCATGCTCTACAGGAGCAGTTGAACAATTACTGGTTAGTGGATTATTTCACAACTTTTGCATACTACCCTCTTTATACTCAATGTTATATTAAAAATAGTGAATCGGGTGGTTGAAAACCAGATTTGTCAGGTTGTAGATTATATTGTTTACAATCTTGATATAGTCAAAGGAAAATGGTTAAAGTTTGTATGATTTTTAACAAAGGTATTTATAATAGCACAAATATTTGAGACTTTCTGCTGTTGATTTGAGGGGAGTTTGGTTTCATTGCTTTGTTTTCATTATGGTAACACTTTAAATTCAGTAGCTAGGTTTTAAAAACCTCGCTACAGCATAAATTACGAAACATTTATTGACCTTCGGTTTCTGGCAGAAATATCATTTATATGATGGAACCTTGATCCCTTGCCACATTTGAAAAAAAGAAATGGGTGAAAATTTTACTTCCTTTGGATTAGTACAACTGTTCTCTTGTCTTGGATTTGCACTAATTGCTATATATTTGTTTTGTATTAAAAGCAGATGCCAAAGAGGAAGAAGATGCTTCTGGGTCACAGCCAAAGGGCCTTCAGAAGACAGATCTCTATCATCTTCAGAAGGTCAGATCTCTTTTTTTTTTTTCCTTTTAGCTGCATCATGTCATGTTCCCCTTTTTCACTTTGTGCTCTAGATTTGTCTGGATGTTTTTGTTTTCATTTTGAACCACAGCCAGGAACAATACAGACTTTGTGACTTACTTATAAATCAATCCTGTTTATCCTACTGCCATCCTCAAGTGCACTCTGCAATTTACTAGTCAACCAGGTGGAAACTGTTCCAATAGACTCAGAGAAACAGAATTAACTAGCAACAAGGGAAATGTAGAAGCATGGTTGCCCCCAACAAAAAAGAATCTGATTATTTATCTGGTGAATTTATTTTTCTGTTTGATCAAACTGAAAGATTCAAAAGAGCCTAACTCATTAGTTTTAGATATTTATTTTAGTTTTTTTTCATGCATATTCATAATATAGAACACAAATTGAGCTACAGTATGTCCAAAATATTCTTTTTTTAAAAAAGGTTGTTTGTTTGTTTAGTTGGAGGTAGATATAATACCTTTATTTTATTTATTTATATGTGGTGCTTCACATGTGCTGGCGAGTATTCTACTGCTGAGCCACAACCCCAGCCGCAACATATTGTTTTTCAGATAGTTCTAACTTTAGGATCTTGATTGTCAAAATGAAGAATTTTCTCTACCATGATACCAAGTTAGACAAATGTAGTATGAAGTTTCATTCTTCACAAGAAAACACATGGAATCTGTTCTGTTAGTATGGCTTTATGCAGGGTGATGGTAATGATAGTTCTCTTCTTCTTCATCTCTTCCTCCTTTTCTTTTTCCCTTTCTTCTTTGAACTAATGTGTTGTGAATAGTGAGCACTCTGCTACACAACTTACTAATAAAGTGAACTGCCCTTTCTTCTCTCCCTGAAAACCCACTTGATGTATATTTAAAGCAGTACATCTGAGAGGAGAGATTCTTGCTAGACCCTACAAATAAAAAAGTAACACCCATTTTGATCTGTACATCCTCCTTAAGCAAAGGGCATCCGCTATCTCCACCTGAGTAGCAGAGATCCCTCTGAAAAATTTTCTATCTCAGAATCACCATGAAAGGTATTCTTTCACCTTTTAGTCCTTATTGGAAATGAAGGAGTTGAGAAGAACAAGTAAGAAGCAAACCAGGTTTGAAGTACTCAGAGAAAAAGTTGTGAACTTCATTGACTGTCTGGTGAGGTGAGTCTCTAGCTATTTTTATGAGTCATGCTATTTTTTTAAATAATACTGGCATAATAGCTGTCCATCACCAATCCAGGATTTTTTTTCTCCTGGCCAGCTTAGAATTTTAATTTCAATTCCTTTTTTTTTGTTTGTTTGTTATTAAAATACTTAATCAAATGACTTAGCTTATTCTTTACTGTCTGTTCAAGAACACCAGTTTAAGTTTAATTTTTAGTTTATTAGGCCAGGTGGGAAGAGTCAGGGAGTTAGAAAGTGTTTTCCCCTTTCAAATAACAAAGTGTTTATATTACACTTCAGCATTGCTATACCTTTACTAGTACTGAATGTTGGATTTGGGCCAAACCCAGAAAACAAGCTGAGCAAACTAGCCATGCAGTTCCATTTTGTCTAATTCTAAAGACAGTGCAACTACAATCAGCATTAAATTCATGTTGAGGCATCTACTTAGTAAATGCAGAAGTCTACCAATCAACCATTTATTTTACAATGATTCCTTCTTGGAAAATCCAGATTATTCTGAATCATGGATTGCCCAGAAGCCAGCTTTATGGTTCATGCTTTAAAAAAAAAAAAAAAAAAGAAAAAGAAAAGAAAGAAAAAGGTATACAAAAGGAAATTATTTAATAGTTAAAAAGAAAACAATAATTATCAGTTTATTATTTTTTAATGGCAGTTCATACATTACTCACTAAACAGAAAAAAAGTACTGGAAAAAACAGCTGCTCGGTTATTGAAGACAGTGATTTTCTGACAGATAAACATGCTCTTCCAGAAAGTGATGTCTCCGTTTTCTAAGATCATGGGGCCAGAATCATTGTTTCTAGTTTATTGGGAAGAATTTATTAATGCTATGAAAGTGGCAAAATTATGACAAGCAGAAGGTTAAAGAGAAATGTGTCATATGAACTGTAATTCATTCTGCTGTCATATATAAAGACAAGAGAGAGAGAAATGTATCATAACAAAATGATGCACTCCAATATTGAACTGATGTACTGGTCAAGAATTTCATTTTAGAACTGATAGAAGTAACTGCCCTATGAGGTTTTCTGTTCTTATAGTTTCTATCCCCAAGCTCTTGACTCTTCCCTTTCGCCAAGTTGTGACTAAGAATTTTTCCATGTGATTTAGAATCATCTGTAAGCCAGACATCAGTTTCCTGAGTTCTTACAAGTTCCAAATCGTAGGCTGTGAAGTAAAACCATCCATTCCCCCTTTCATGATCTTTGACCTAATATGCCTGACTTTTTAATGTTTCTGAACAGTTATTGAAATAATGCTGAGCATGATTGAAATGTGTTCTGTTGTGAAACTACAAAATATTCTATAAGAATTTATTATCTTTACTAAGATTTTCTATCATAAAAAGAGATTAGGATTGTAAACTAAAAGGAAGTGAGGAATCATATATCAGCTAAAGCCCAGAGAAAGGTATGGTTACCTGTGTCACATAGTCCTAATCTCCTGACATCTGCCAAAAGGCCCTCCCCATTTGTGCACATTGCCTTGAAGGAGAACACTACAGATGTTTGAATAGAGTTTGGAGTTCTGGAGAATATAAGCCATTGACTTAAGGAGATGGTAGGTTCACAGTAGATCAGGAACATCTCTTGGCAAAAATACTGACAGATCTGAGATTAAGTTGCCAAATGCAAAGAATTAAGAAAAAAAAGCTGCCACTTTTTAAGTTGCTATTTTCACCAAAATCAAGCTTTGACTTTATAGCCCTTGTTGATAAAAATCTTAACAGTTCCCTCAGAGGTATCTCTTTGAGGAAAGGTCTAACATTTGTTGTAAACTCTGACCTAAATCCAGATGAACATCACAAAGTACTCTGGTGCCAGATTCATTGCTTCTTTCTTATCAAATCAGTTGCCCAAGCAATGGCATTTTTATGCCAATCCCCAGGTATACAATTGGACAAAAATTCCTGTGTATGGTGCTGGTGTATTACTATTATTCAATGAATGTAACCTAGTGGAAACAAAATAAAGCAGATACTTTATTTTCCTTTTGATGGAGATTCTTTGAGAATCTCGAAAAGGTGTTTTGACTTGGTATTTGTCTGAGTTTTTAAACATTACTTGAAGACAGGAAAAGGAATGGAAATACAAATGTAAGACAGTAATTTGAGTTTCTATAATTATCTCTATCCAATTGCCTTGTTAAATATCCAGTCTTTATTACTTAGCAGAACTTCAGCAAGGTCTTTTAGTGATAGCCATGATAATGTTTGGGAATAACTGTATGAAATTGGTATAGGAAGAGTTTATATGGCCAGTAATTACAAATTGGTAACTAGCCATCCAAGGAGGCAGTCAGCATCACAGAAGTCATTTTCTCAGCGAATTTAACTCAGTCTTGAGTAATTGAGATAGTAAAAATGTTAGTCTTTAGTGAGGATCAAGTCAAAATCATACTCTTTGCAAATGGGTTTTGTTCCAGTGGACTCTGGAGAAGGAACAGCACCTAGAAATGGAATGAGTAGGTCAGGAGCTCTTGATAAAGGAGGAGAGAGATGGTGAGGAATGATGTGCATGTTGAATGTCCTTTTGCTTCCTATCTTTTTTCAAAACCACTGATCTAACCAGAGTAGAGCAAGTATAGAAGGCTTTTCTAGGAAGTGTGGTAACTTTTCCAAAAGGAGGACAGAAAGTTAGGAAGAAGAGAAATTATTTCATTATTCCAGGAGAGGAGAAATAACATCTCCTGTGGCTGAACTAGGGTAGCTGCTTGATTTGCTCTGCCTACACTAATTGGAAAAGAGCTGACACAGTCTGTAATGTGGCTAACAGACTTTAAGCTCAGGACTGAATTAAGCCCTGGGAATCTTCATTATGAAGGCATGTGAGTTAACTAATCTAGTTTGTAACTTATTACTGTTTTCGATTGTGTATGCCAAACCTCCATTCCAGTTCACTACTCTCCAGGCCACCTAAGAATAATGTTACTGTCATGTCACAGACCAGCTGATAGGCTCATACTTTTTGGGGGAGAGGTACCAGGGCCGGGTATTAAACTCAGGGGCATTTGATCACTGAGCCACATGCCCGGCCCTATTTTGTATTTTATTTTGAGACAGATTCTCACTGAGTTGCTTAGCACCTCACTTTTGCTGAGGCTGGCTTTGAACTTGAGATCCTCTTGCCTCAGCATCCTGAGCCACTGGGATTACAGGTTTGCACCATTGTGTCTGGCCTAGGCTCATACATTCAAAGTAAACCTTTTAATGCCTTATTTTTAAAGTTTAGATTTTATTAAAATTGATTTTCCATATAGCTTGTAAGTGAAAAATTAAAGAATTCTGAGATAATGTGGCTTTTTTAACAATTGATATCTTATTGAAGTTTTTTAACACACTGAAACTAAAATTTTAGCAGCCTTTACTGATGCTAAAGTAAAAACTAATCATAGTATATTTACAGTAACTCTTTCCTTAAAAGATATCAACTAAAATATTTTTTGTGATCCAAAATGAATTTCCTCAAATTAATTCCAGGCTTGAGGCTTTGTATAACATTGCCAAAAAAGCCAAATGCTTGCTGTGTTAGAGAATGGATACCTCAGTTTTCTGAATAATTTTTAATTTAAGAAATTTGTTAATATTTTAAGAAATTCCACTTTAAAGTGAGAAGAAATGTAATATATGCTCATTTGTTTCTGAAGATTTAATTCAGAACTGAGATATGTAGTTTCTTGTACTGTAAACAATCTAGAAGTAGTGTTTAAAAGTATTATATGGATTTTTGCCCTGGATCCAATACTTGAATTTTGTTTCTTTTGCTGTTGATTTTGCTTTTTAATAAATTGTTCAGTCCCTTCATAGAGGATTGACAAAACTGTTATTAAAAATAAACCTATGCTAACCTAAAAGCTGATAACCTGACTGGAATGTTTCAGAGAATACCTTCTGCCTCCTGAGACTCAGCCTCTGCACGAGGTGGTGTACTTCAGTGCTGCCCACACTCTTCGTGAGCACTTAAATGCTGCTCCACGTATCGCCCTCCACACTGCACTGAATGATCCTTATTTTTATATAAAGGTAAGAAGCAGATTCTGATCTCTCACAGCTGAGCTTAGGCCAAGGCTTCATTGCCACAAAAATATTGCAAGTTTTCAGTTCTGTTTTAATGAGCAGAGAATAAGAAGCTCAGGGTTGGTGGTAGTAGAAAGCTTGGATAATTTCATATTTAAAGAAGAATAATAATCAATTATTTTTGATACATAAATCACAAATGTAAAACTTACAAAGTTTATCTTCTTTGCTAGTAGTAGCTCACAAAAGAAAAGTATTATTTCAGTAGCATTTGGGAAGGTAGGCTATCCTGTGCAGCTCATGTATGTGAGACTTTGTTTCTTAATAAAGAACCATAATTTCAAATATGTTGAAAAAACAGGTGGTTTCTACAGAATGATATGCATTGTTGAGAACTGTCTTTTGAGAGATGACTTATATCCGTAGTAGTGAAATGTTGATATTTATTAATATAATGTAAAAATTGCTAGAATTAAGCTAATTGCAAATATTGAGAGTCATTTTAATAAATATTCCCAGAGTTCTTTAAACTTTATACAGTTAGAAATGCACTGTGGTCTTGAAAAATAACTTAAGATTAAAGTAAAAAATGTGCTTGTACTCATCCTGGGACTGTTTCTCTAGTAACTAGGAGTTGGAGGTATTAGACCAAGACCTGAACCTAAATAAGAACTAGCTAACAATTATTGAAGAGTTCATTCACTAAATAAAGAAAACCAAGATTCTACTTACTAATTTACTGAATTTAAGTTAGGAGGAGTTTACTAGTAATCAGATTTTGTTATTTATCCTTTCTTAAAGGCGGTTACCTTACTTCACTTATTTTTTAGAATGAAGCTCTGAAAAGTGAAGAAGGCTGCATTCCAAATATTGCCCCTGATATCTGCATAGCTTATAAACTGCACCTGGAGTGTAGCAGGCTAATCAACCTTGTGGACTGGTCAGAGGTAGGTCAGAGAGAAAAGAGAAACCTGTATATAGAATATATAGAATATTTTTATACTTTCAAGCTCATCTTTTACCTTTTTTAATGCCTTGGTTTTTTTTGGAAAGCATAAATTGCCTCATACTTCAAAAGTTCTTTAGGAAATAGCCGATCAGCAATCCTCACTCCAAATCTCCTGCTCTCTGATCCTTCATTCTTCAAATGAAGCCAATTCTATATTCATGCCAGGTCAAAATAAGTATGTGATCTAACCTTAGTACTTAGCATTTAAGCAAAGCTAAGCAGTTAGGTCAGTTCTATGGTATTCCACAAAATATAGTATTAAACTAGCATTTCCTTACTTTCATGAAAAAAAATTGGAATGATTGTGCAATAGATTTAGCAATCAGGAAATATAAGGAATACTTGGCGGGGTTGAGAAGAGGATACAGGATTCTGCCTTTTAACATTAATTTGCTTTGTTTCTTGTTTTGCTTTGCCTACTTCTTAGTTCTCAGAAACAAAATTATTAAGGAGTCATTACCTTGTACTCTTTTAATGTATAACTGATTTAAAATGATCATGGAGTATAATTCTGAAAATCTGAAATTTGGTTTAAAGAAAAAAGAAATGTGCTAGCTATTAGCAGCAGCAACAGTATTATTAAGCCTGGCTTAATTATAGTACCATCAAAGGAAGTGTAGTAAAAGATATTTGGCAACTGTGGAGATTTTTATTTTCTTCTGTCTTATGTATTCAAAAGGCTTTTGCAACAGTTGTGACAGCTGCTGAAAAGATGGAATCAAATTCTGCAACTACAGAAGAGATGAATGAAATTATCCAGTATCCTTTTAAAATCAATTCCACAATGTCCAGCTACAGAGTGTAAGTTCATAGTTTCTCAGGCTTAGAGGTAAAACATGAGTTTAGCATGCAAGAGGACAAGAGTTTAATCCCCAGCCTCAAAAAATAAAGTTTAGTTTCTCCAGGTCTATATTGTAGATTCATAAGGACATGTTAATATTAACCATACCATTCTAATAATAACTTAAATTTGTAAATATTCTGAATTTAATCTACAATGAGGTCAAACCCATATTATTTGGTGTCAAATTTATGTTATTTCAAAGTTTACCAAAAAAAGAAACCATAATTATTGAATTTTAAGAGAGAATTTTTTTAATATTTTTTAGTTTTTTAGTGGACACAACATCTTTATTTTATTTTTATGTAGTGCTGAGGATCGAACCCAGCGCCCCACGCATGCTAGGCAAGCGTGCTACCGCTTGAGCCTCATCCCCAGCCCCAATGAATTTTCTACTTTTCTATTGTACTTTTAGAAGTTGTGGGGAGTAGCAATTTTTTTTTTGGGGGGGGGGGTACCAGGGACTGAACTCAGGGGCACTCATCCACTGAGCCATATCCCCAGCCCTATTTTGTATTTTTATTAGAGACAGGGTCTCACTGAGCCGCTTAGTGCCTTGCTGTTGCTGAGGCTGACTTTGAACTTGTGATCCTCCTGTCTCAGCCTCCTGAGCCACTGGGATTACAGGTGTGCGCCACCGCACCCTGGAGTAAGTAGCAATTTTTATACTATGTGAAAAATTAGATTTGGGTGCTTTCCATTAATGTCTTATTGACAATAGATTGTAATTACATGTAATGTTTTCCAGTAAGATTTATAGTGTAATTTAGGAAGAATGTTTTTCAGCTATATATTAGTTTGCAAACTAATATTTTAACATTGAAATTTTAACCTTTTTGTCAAAAATAGAACATGGCCAATTTCCTTAGCTAGAATTTGCAGTGCTCGGTTTATTAGAGCTGTTTCTGAACTAGAACTTTTAGGATTTATAAAACCTACCAAACAGAAGACTGACCATGTAGCAAGGCTAACATGGGGAGGCTGTTAGAATGCTAATGAATGAAGCCAGTTGTATCGTGTACCTTAAGGGAAGAAGGAGACTACTAGTCATATTTACATGCCATTAGAGACAATGTGTAGCCCTCCCTTTTGGTGTTTAACCAGAAAGTAGAATTTTAATCTCAAGCAGGTTTATATCAAAGAATCTTTGTAATATTTTAGAATCTAACAAATAAACATGCTTGCATTATAACTAAAACCTCTCATGAATTATTATTGTACAAAATCACTAAACCAAATCATTCTTGGACTTATGCTGTCTAAATAGAATAAATTTCTTTATCCAGTAATGTAAAGTATTTGTAATTGGTATACATTACAAATGTACCTTGTTCCTCTATTTCTTGCATTGGCTTTCCTCACTGGTATATTGTACAGTAAGTCATAACATAAATATCCTGCAAGTTTGTTTCTTATCTTTAGAAAGACCATTCATTACCATAGTAGCATTGATCAGGATAGTATCTTACTGTCTTCACCTCAGGTGCCAAAACTTTTTCAGCAAAATGTAAACACTTATGCATAGGTATAACAGTACTGTCAACTTGAAAGTTACGAACTTGTGATATACAAAGTGTAAACTAAAAAAAAAAAAAAAAAAAAATACTTATCAAAATCCTGGAAGCAGGGCATGAAGCAGATTCTCCAACAAATGGACATGATGAAGATAATCAAGATTGAGTTTCTATGATTTATCTTTAAGCAATAACTAACCCAGGCTTTTTCTGATATTCTAGTCATTTTCCTCCAAAGAGCCCTCAACTACATTTTTTTATTGTTTTTAAACAATGGGTAGTAAAAATCTAGGTAAACAATGTACAAATGATTTTAAGGATTTTTCATCTATTGCCTCTTTGAGGCCATCAGCCATGAGGCAGGTTTCCCAGTACTCCCATGTTGTATTAATGAGGACATCATTAATATGTACAGTATGGTTTCCTGCAGCTTTCAGATGACAGATGAGCACCAGATGAAATTTAGAAAACTTTAAAACTCATATCTTACAGTATAAAATTACTAGTCTTAAGACTAACAAATTCACATCTGTCTGAAAGCACAGATTTCCTGAGATGAAAAAGTAACCCTACTTTAATTTTGCTATGCACTTACTGAATTCATGCAATCTAAATGTATATCATGCACTGAACCATGTTGAGGTAATAAATCCATAGTCAAGCTCTGGGACATGCCTATGAATTTATTAATGTTTAGGGAAATTAAGAGTGGGCAAAAGAAGACTGAGCAGCAGCAGCCAATAGAGGAAAATCCGGCAAGTGTAATATCTTACAAGCCAACTGAAGAGTTTCAAGGTTGAATGCTGTTTATGATCAGACTTCAAAAATCTTCAGTGACTTAAATATAGGCATCACCTATCAGATCAGATTGTGTCCAAAATTGACACTAATCCTGGAAAGGCCATACATTGTATAGTATCAACCTTTGTTCTGACACAGAAGTTTTAACCTGAAAATTAAAATTTTTAGGCCCAACTTCTAGCCTACAGTTATTTCAGATGCCTAGAGTAAATCAGTGGTAGCACAAATATCCAAAAAGGGACTGTCTTCCCAGTTAGACTCTTGATTGAATCCCAAGGGTGAACGGACTAATAAAAAAACTTATGACAAATGGGAGAACCTCAATGTGGATATGATGTTATAAGTATTTCAAATAGGGTAATGGTATCAAGTTTATTTGTGTAGAAGTACGTTTTTATGAGATGCATTTTTAATAACTTTTACACGTCAGCAGACTATTCTTTCAACTTTTCTGTGTTTGAGCTTTTCCCTACTAAAAAAAGTTGGTGAAAGCGGAGAGAGGCAGTAAATCGGAGGATGTTTAGAAAAACTTTTGAGTTCAGTTTAGTAACAGTAAAGAGTAATAGCTGGATGAGGAATATAGGATCAAAAGGTTTTTAATAACATTTTCTTTATTTGGGAATGATCTACAAGAGAGAAAACGGATGCAGGAGAGAAGATAGCTGGAACTGTGTCTTTGAATGAGATGTGAGTTTGTATGTGATGCAAGTGTGTATGTAATTCTTACATAGTACTAATGCATCACAGAGTAGACAGGGACAAAATTCGGCTTTAGCAGAATATTCACTTATTAATACTAGAGCAGAATAGTGGAACTCTAGCTGCTTGGATCATATCTGTAAAATGTATTTTACCGATTCCAGTGGTCTTCCTTTCCTAGGTCTTCTAATGCAGTTTCTAGGGGTGGAGCCTTACGAAGAAAGCTCTTCAGGTAGTAAATTCAATCACTGTCTGTTTAGAAATCATGTTCATTAGTCATGTCAAAGTCTTGATATTTTAAACCTCCGATATTTTTTTCAAATGCCTATTTTTCCTCAACAATACAAATAATTCTACCTTATTTGTACCCTTGTTAACCACATTCACTCAACACAGTAAGGCAAGTACAGCTCTATATCATAACTGCCTTTTACTAAAATAATGACATAGTACACTGAATTATGTGACTACTTATTATGAGGAATTTCGGGTCTCTTTGGGAATTAAGAATCCCTAGGTAGCTAATTACAGTTCTTTTCACTGAGATAAATTGGTATATGGACTATAGTAAGTAAATCAACTACTGAGTCCACATAATTTTAAGTCCAAGAATCCTGTACATTAACTTTCTTGAATTCTCTTAGACTACTATTTATTTTAAATGTAAGATAGAACTTTTTGGTAAGATAATAATGCAGAAATTTAGCTGTGAAGGAAAGTTTAATGAAGTTATATCGAAAATTGAAACTCTTATGACTTTTCAGATTGCCAGCATTTTTTTCCCTTTCAGCTGATTTTGCCTTCCAAACATAAAACCCAGCTGTTAACAAATTTTTAATCAGTGAAAATTCACAAATGCTTATTTAACAAAAGAATATCCAGTTTTGTCCTAAGGTTAACAAGGTTTGTTAAAGCATGTTTACATTCACTGTATTCCCATTCCTCCATATTTTAACTTACTGTTTGCACTCTCCTAAAAATGTTACCCACTAAACTGGTACTTCTTGGCTGGGACTTAGTAATGAGACATATGGTCGTCACAACTTGAGGAGGGTAACTGGCATCCAGTGGTCGAGGCCGGGGATGTTGTTTGTTAAACTCCCTGCAGAACACAGGTACAATCCCAAGAATGATCTGGCCAAAATTGTCAGTAATGCTGAGATTGAGAATCGTAGTACTGAGCCATTACCTTTTAAGAGTCTCGAAGAATTGGTGAAATTGCTAAAATTATAAAGAAAAAACTTTTCCCTTGTTCTACTAACTGAATCACTTATAAAGGTTTATGTTTCAGTATATTTAGGATTTGGGTAATCAGCGGAAATATGCTGTTAGTTTTCAACAAATTCACTGAAGCATTTTTTTGCTCACTTATTGAAAGAAAGCTGTGTCTAGAAGCCACTCAGGGAAAGTGAGTTAAATTTGCTGAGTCATGCTTTCTTGCACATCAAATATCAAGTCCTTAAAATTGGATTCTATTGATGCCTTTTAGGTAAAAATTCTAGAGCTCTTATATATTATTACCTCTATCTATGAGGTAATATATTATTATGCAGAAAATGTTACAAGTTACAGAAGTAATTTAGAATCAGAACGCAACTTTTTGAAATAGCACTCAAATTTTAAATCTTACCAGAAAAATTTACTTAATTGACTCCTGGAAAATGCTTACATTTAAAACACTGGCTTTATTCAAATACTACCCATTTGTACATTTAAAAAACAAGCAGGATAGAAGTAAATGTTTTATTCTTCCAACTAAATTCCAGTACTACAAGGGCAGTAAAACAATGATACACTGGAAAAAAAATGCAGCAATAAACATTTGTTAAAAAGACTGATAGAATAAATAAAACTACCAAAAAAAAAAAGGGAAAAGAAAAATCATATAAACCCATTCTGAAACCCCAAGAAGTCCTGGAATACAGAAATGCCCTCCTCCTTCACTATTTGACAGGAAGTACTGTAGGCTATTTGCTCAATATTGTCCTGGGATTACATTCTAAATTATTAATAACTGGTTACAGTTTGGTTGTAGTGCACAATTAAAATCACACTAACTTCATCTGAAGTGTCATTCTACAGTTTTATTTACACAACCAACGAAGGGCATGTTCTAGAATACCAGCTTTAATCCTTTTCAAACATATTAATATGAGAAGCCAAATTGTAATGATACAGCAAAGTGAGGCCACTGGTATTAATACAGGTAGCAAAGGTCCACATCCAGGTGTTACTGACATCAGGGAAATTTCCAAAACCAGTTGCTGCTGCCTAAGAGTGGTTGCCACTGACGAAAGCTTGACATAACCTGCATTCACAGGGAATATTGGCATTGTTGCATGTCGAAATTGGGACCTTCTGCAACAACTCAACAAGAAATAAGGCAGCCCACAATTGCAGAAAACTTGATTCATGAAACATCTAGAAAGGGGAGAAAAGGAAAATTAGTGCAAAGAACAGGTCAAAATTTAAATATTTTCATACCAAAATTAAAATACATTAGATATTCGTTCCAGATACTGCCCCTAGATAATTAAGTAAGCCTTACAAAAGTTTTGTGCTTATTCCTTCCAGGCTTTTTCTCCATCATTTTCTGTTAAAAGTGTATTCTTGAATACAAAAATAATTATTTTCTCTTTAATAGATGTTTTTGTTTTCGATTTATAATTCAAAGGCAAGTACTTACAACTAGCAGGCTGTTCTCCATATCGTCGCATTATCTGATCATGTGTAAACTTCACAAATGCATCATACTGTTCTATAAATAAAGGGACATGTCCATCACATGACTTGAAAATGGCCTAATAAAATCAGATAACTCTTCAAGTAGAAAATATCTAAGTTTTATTTTAAGTTGTCTATGAACAGCAATTTATTACAGTGAGAGGAAATATGTGAACAAAGCCTAACCAAAAAACTATGTTTTTAATCAGATCTCAAGAAAAAAATTATTATGAGCAAATTAATAGCTATAATAAAAATCTGGAGCTTAAAGTTAGAAACATTATGATCAAATTACCATACATTAAAAAGCTGCACGATTTAGATATTTCAAATATTTACATTGATAACAAAGTTATTGGGGGGCTGGGGATGTGGCTCAAGCGGTAGCGCCCTCGCCTGGTATGCGTGCGGCCCAGGTTCAATCCTCAGCACCACATACAAAGATGTTGTGTCTGCCAAGAACTAAAAAATA